TCTCTCTCTCTCTCTCTCTCTCTCTCTCTCTCTCTCTCTCTCTCTCTCTCTCTCTCTCTCTCTCTCTCTCTCTCTCACACGCACAACTCTCTTTCTCTCTCTCTCTCTCGTCCACCCTCTTGTCACGAACAAGAAGACTAGAGACCAGGAGACGAACTCCAGTGGTGGGGGTGGGTGAAAATATGGTCGCATTTCATTGGCGCTGTTCGCAGTCGTGGTTGCCGGCCAGTTCATCAACTACGAGTGCTGGACTTCGAGGAGCGTCGTAGTTCGTGAATTGGCCGACAACCACGACTGCGAACAGCGCCCACGAAATGCGACCACATCACGGTCTTACATACAGGTCTGGAAACTCAGGCAAATTTTGGTGGTGGGGGTGTGCCAAAATTTAAGCCATTTTTAGTGCACAATCTTGTCACCACAGCGTGTCGCTGTTATCGCAAAGTGTTGTAAAAGTGGAAACATAACCATTAAACTCAACGTTAGTGCGTGGCTCGGTATACATTCCAACGAATTGTCTTGGATAGTCCATAATGACGAATTCTTGCATAGTCCCGAACTAATAAAAGCATGTATAAATCTGTAAAATTATATCTGCCCGAACGCAGTCAAGGTTAGAGTCTTGCACTGACCGATAGCAGCGACACACAGGGCGAACTAATTTTGGCTTAAAACTGAGCACTACCCCCACTACTCGAGTTTCCAGACCTGTATGTAAGACCGTGGACCACATTATGGCCAGGGGAGCGATCGCGTGCACGATCGAATTCGATCGGTCGACTTCTCATACGTCTCTACTCTACAGGTTTCATGGTTCATGCTTATTTATTATAGGATAGTTTCCCTCAGACCATAGATTGATCATGTACGAAGAGTGGTATCGGATGGCATATTCCTTCTCGAATTCGAATTCGATCGGTGCACGTGATCGCTCCCCAGGTCTACATAGAAGTCGTAAAGTCGTAGTCGTAAGAATAGTCGACTATGATTGGTCAATTCTTATGCGTCTGACAAAATTGACCAATCGCAGTTGATTATTCTTACGACTACGACTTTACGATTTCTATGTAGACGAGGCTTTAAAGCCTCCGCTACAATGATTCTCGGTTCTGTCTACAATGGTCGTAGTCGTAAGAATAATCGACTGCGATTGGTCAATTCTTATCGAGCGACTACGACTACGACCATTGTAGACAGAACCGAGAATCATTAGGCTTGTTTTCTGTTCCTACACTAGTGAACTAGTGCAATAAATTGGAGTAAGACAAGCATATTTTTTCTCATTCTAGCTTACTGCACTAGTTCACCAGTGCAGGAACAGAAAACAAACCCCTTGTAGCGGAGGCTTTAAGTTGAATGTCCACGAAGGGCGTGTTGCATTCGCCCAATCACAAAAACGGGGCCGTGGCAGCACCGGCAGGCTGTCAGACTTCTCTCTACTTGTGCGACGTCGACGCCTTTACGTTGGCGAGGGGACGAATGGGATATTTGAAAACATTTTTTTTGTCGCCGATACGTCCGCTCTGGTCCGCTCCGAGCTCCCCCCTCCAGCGCCGTCCACCTGCCACACGCAGAGCTGGCAGAGCAATCGCGAGCGGACACGAGGCGTGACGAAGCGCAGGCTGTCAATTATACACACGTTTGACACACATGACCGTATTGCGCGGCGATCTCAAAACATGATAGAATAGCCGTGAAAGATGTGGGAAAACTACTGGGGCGTCTACAATGCACTGTGGTGCGTGTTGACCGTCAGCCTTCTCGTCCACGGGCACGACTTTCGGCACTTCGACGACACAGTGATCTTCAAGATATCCTGGCCCGGGAAGGGCGAGCTGTTGGTGAGTACGACGCCCGGTCACGGTGAACGTCTGCAACCGTCGCCGCGGCGATTCATGCCAGGCCACGACCCCCGCGATCATCCGTCCCGGCGTGTGCTCCGCTTGTTTCTCTGTCCCCCCAGGAGACCCGGCCGAACACGGAGCCGTACGTCGTGACCACCGCGAACAACGAGCAGTACAGGTGCATGATCCCGGACGCGACCGAGCCGGAGCCGGATTACAGCGAGACGTACGACGGGCCGAATCCGATTGAGCTTCTGCAGCCAATATTCGCGCAGAACAGCTGCTCCTACAGGGTACGGCGGCGCCGGGCATTTGCATGTCCGTCCACCACTCTCTCACAATTCCCTTTCGCTAGTCGTTAAACCTTGTACCCAACGTCTCGGCGATTGTCACCGGTTGTCGTTGCATAGGTACATTGTACGGTAAAAAGTTGCACAACGGGAACAACAATCATCGCTGAAAGACCTTAGAGAATCCTGGTCTACAATGTGTTCTTTGCCATTGGAAACATTCTATTTTGTAAGCGGATCTCAATATGCTTAAAAAAATTCAACAATGTACCCTAGTAGCACAATACAATTGGCGCAATATTGGGAATCTAATATTCCTAACATTAATGCGCAGGTATGTTACCTGGTAAAAAGTTACACAACAACAACGACAATCATCGCCAAAACGTTAGAGAATCCTAGTATTGATCTGCAATGTACTCTTTGCGATTAGAAACATTCTATTTTGTAAGCAGATCAATATTAAATAATTCAACAACGTACCCTAGTAGCATAATACAATTGGTACAATATTAGGAATCTAATATTCCTAACACTAATATGAATATTGATTAAATATTGATCTGATACAATTAGACCAATATTGCTGATTGATATATTGGCTAAAAGGAGATGTTCACCTTGCAACATCCAATAGTATAAGGTGGACAGCTCTTATTTAGCCAATATGCCTGCAATTGTTTCAATATTAGATCAATATTAATCCTATATTCATATTACATTGCTAAATGTTGACCAATTCACTTCAAATATAATGTTATATAATTATTTCATGCAATATCTGCATTTATTCCATGGCCAAAGCTGAACCAATGCACTGTGCTACCAGGGTGTAATGTACAGTTTGTCAACTTGCACGAATTTTCTAAACGTATTCGTTGGCTATGAAACAAAGTGTTCTAAACATAAAGAGCGCGTTGTAAATCGATTTTATCAATGCAACTCACCTTGATTCAATTCTGCCATGCGTAGCTAGAGTCATATTGGACCTACGAACTGTGCCACGGCAGATACGTACGGCAGTACCATGAGGAGAGAGAAGGGAAGAAGATCAGGATGCAGGAGTATCACCTTGGTAAGCTGGACAAGGCGCAGAAGACGAAGCTCTCGACCTATTACGACGAGCAAACGAAGAATCCGAACAGGAAGCTAAATATACCCATCAAGAAGGTCGACGGGCTGAATCTGCCATACGTCGAGGTCGAGATGACCGACGGCACCATGTGCGACTTGAACAGCAAGCCGAGGCTCATCAGGGTGCTGTACGTCTGTTACAAGCACGGTAAACACGACATATATTCTCTGAAGGAAACCATGTCCTGCGAATACGAGGCGGTCGTGCTGTCGCCGGTATTGTGCAGCCATCCCGATTACAAGCCGCTGGACACCGGGGAGAATCAGATCAAGTGCCAGCCCGTGGACAAGGCGCCTGAGAAACCGCGGTCGCTCATGGCGATGGAGCTCGAAAGTCAAAGGATGCGGCACCAAGCGAGGGTAAATCTGCGAAAAGTACCTGGCAGACTTTTTTTGGCAACCTCCTCTTTACTTTCTAGTCCTTGAAGTATTGTTTGGCACGTATTTATGTTTCGTTTGCGTATACTAATAGCCGTATCTTTTCCATTTTTGTCGATTCGACCGAGTATTCTGCAGAAGTAACGAGTTGTGTTAATAGCAGACGCTTATAGTGCGTACTAAGATCTTTAAATAATTTTAGATCTGACAATCTCGCAGAGTAATATAGAGAATACTGCTTCTCTGAACAATTAACACACTTGAATATTAAAGCTTGTATAATTTTGATAATAGCAATCGACCAGTGTTCCGTAACTGTTTAGTTTTCGACACTAGACACTTGATTTTCCTTTTTTTTTTGTTCCAGTTCGTTTTTACTGTTTATTTACTGTCTTAATTATTTGTTGCACAGGAAGACAAGCCGCAGAAACTGTATGCAATCTTCCATGTAGTAAAGGAGGGCCAGGTCAGAATATTTTGCATATATGGGAACAGGATTAACGCTTGTTGATCATTATGTAGTTACCATTAGCTTGTGCGGATGTTATTTCCATTCTGTCCCTTCTTTATCTACATATTCCGACACGTTGTCCGACACTGTTACATCACGAATGTTTAACTCGTTTCTTTCTTGTAAAATTGTATAAGATATCATTTTCTGTCCTTACATCTCGCTAGTATTATATACATGTGCAATTAGTATGTATGTCATTATCGTTGCTACGTTACATCGACAAAATCATTGAATGAGAAACGTAATAATAATATGTAATCGCATCGTCTGCACTTGAAACAATCCATTATTTATATCATGCTACCGTTTGCACATTAATTGTACATATGCACGATAACAATCCTTTTCATAAACAAGTGAAAGAAATGGGGTGCTTTTTGTAAATGTTAATTATACGCGCAAGCTGAACGCGTGGAGTCTATCTATTGTAATGAATTGATTACAGGACGGCGACCAAAGAGTGAGGGTCGAGATACACCCACTGGATATTCCGGATAAGCACAGTAATATCGACGAATCTATCAACGCGCTGCAGACTGATCAGAATGTCAGTCCCGCCGAAGTCAGTCCTGTTCAGAATTTTCTAAGCGGAAAGAACTGCCTGCACGGAGCAAGTATCCAGTAGTAGTGCTTCTTTCGTTCTCATCGAACATCTTTTAATGTTTCTGTTTAATGCACTACTAGGGCAACGGTTGGTGGAAGTACGAGTTCTGTTACGGACGTTCTGTCGTTCAGTACCACATAGAGAAAGATGGCACAAAGACAATCGTCAATCTCGGTAGATTTGATAAACAGAAGCACTTGGATTGGATCGCCGCGCATCCACACAAGAAACCCAAGCCGTTAGAATTAAGGAAACACCTCTCGCACTTTTACAGCGACGGAAGTAGCTGCGATAAGACTGGGACTTCTAGGCAAACCGAAGTACGCGTTGCTGTTAAGCTCGTTGAGTGATGTCGTTGATTTGGAAGAAGATGGCGATTACTTTCAGTTTTCAGTTTATAACAATTGCAAGAAACATTTCTATATTTTTATCGAGCGTAATCAAGCAAATTGAATTCTCTTAATGACCGCTGTAAAAGTTATCTTTTTAAATTGTAGTTTGTTTCTGTGGCGATTTTTTAAAATGCTCAGTCTGAAATTTATGAGTTTTGATTCGTCTTCTTCCGAACCGAAAATAAATTCCTATAAATGCCAGAATTTGTTGAACAATTTTGTGCAGTTTTCTCACCGTTTGCCCTTGTTTCAGGTAAAACTGAAATGCGTGGAGGACCATACTGCTAGTCCATCTAGTGTATCGTTATTTTTACTGGAACCAAAAACATGTGAATACGTTTTGGGAGTCGAATCACCGCTGATCTGTGATATCTTAGAATACGCCGACGAAAATGGACTTCTGAGCGACAAGTTCGAAGCGAATTTCGATAAACTGAAGTCTATGGCCTTGCACGCGGAACAGGACAATTTAGATGAGCGAATAGCCAATGGGGACGATTAGAGCAATGTTGATTAAAACTCGCCAAAGGCATCATTGTTTAAATATTGCAATTATAAAAATGTTCATGGTTTATTGAGTATAAACAATTACTTTCTATAAAACACTAATGAGTGAGAGTGGAAATTAGTTGACTAGATTACATGATTGTGTTTAATATTATAGTAAAAAGATTCGTCATTCCAAACTATCTAACAATATAAGTATTTAATAGTTTCCGCGCGTAGATGTTCTCCTGTCACGTAAAAATGAGTGCATATCAAAATCGTGTTCCAATATATGCAATTAGGTTTACAATATGTCCCGATATTTCAACAGACTTTTGGAGAATAATTTTCTCTAAACTGAATCAGGGACATGAAACTTTCTATTTCGACTTATCTTCACCCTATCCGAACGATATCGCGAGATACGCGAAATAAAGGCTCCTGAGATTCTACGAGGAGAAGGCAGCGTCTCTGAGAGAATATCCAAAATTTGCAGTATTGTGCACCTGGTCAGGAATGAAGGTACGCCGTTAGCCAACGTTCAAGCCGACGCCGACGCGGAACTGCTGCTTCTTGTGATTGAGGAAGCCGCTTATAATTAACGAGGCCCCGGGGATCGGGTGCAGCCTCTTCTCGAACACGGCGCCTATGCTGGTCTCCGAATTGACGAATCCCCGGCAGATGAAATCGGCGTACGGGATGTCGATGCGGTACACGATCGTGCCCACGGACTCGTGTATCCGCGTGTTCGTCTCGATCTCGACGCCGAGCTGCAGCTGCTCGCTCGCCTTCCGATGGTAGCAGACGTGGATACCGGCCTCGCCGAACGTGGCGGACAGCGTGGTGGGGCCGGTGCTGTGCCGGAACGCGGCGCACATCACCGTCTGCTGGCCGCCGGGTATCAGAGAGCCACGTAGACACGCGATCTCCGTGCCGAGGGTGATCCTCGGCGTCACCGCCTGCAGATAATGCAACACCAGCGTGCCGTGCATTCTCGTTAGATCCGGATTCGCCAGAGTGAGCGCGAGGGTGCAGTCGTCCGAGCGGTACTCCAGGCCGGAACTGAACGTCTTGTACCTCTTGTCGACGATCTGCGTAGCGAGCTTGAATCTGTATCTGCAGCCGAGCGTGTGCACGAAGCTGGCGTTCATGTTGCCGCTGGGCGTGATCTCGCCCGAGATCACCGGGTACTTCTCCGTGAGTCCCACTCGCTTGGTGCCGACGTAATTCACGCCGAACTTGAGGCCGTACGGCGTCACGGAGCTCAGGGTCAGCCTGTAAGTCACGTTGAAGTGCTTGCTCAGGCATTTCCGCAGCAGCAAGTACGCGCCCTCGAAGTTCTGCGGATAGAGCTCCTTGGTTTTCGCGTGAAGATCCTCGAAGCTGCTGGGATTACCGGGCTTCCTGTCCACCTCTTCGAAACAGGGAACGCACGGCGGCTCCTCCAGGTTGTCCGAGGTTGTCGCCAAGAGCTGGTCGCGTCTCTTGATAAGCGCCTGGACGATGCCCATTGTGACGCGGGCGTCGGCTTTTCCGATGAGTAACCGGTTTATCTTAAATCTACCAACCTCAACGCGCGTTCGATATGTAACAATCTTCATTCTGTACTCGGTTTCAATGTACTACCGACTTGAGCTCTTTAATGAAAATTTTATTGTAAATTAAACTATTTTATTGATAAACGATATGAATAAAGGGTCTTCTTTTTTTTAAGCTTGCTACTGAAATTAATATTAGTGATTTTTTAGATGCAAAATTAGATAAGTGGTAAATTTCTTCAGCATCAACGCATGCCTGCTATATGTATAGAATGTAAAGTGCTGAGAATATTTTTCATAGACACATAAGAGCAAGTCTGAAAATTCTAGTATGGTACACAAAAAATATGCGTCATAAATACAAATCTGATTATATATCACATTGATAGATCTCTGTGCGAATTGCACGTTCAATCATTTGCAATTTTTTATGACAATTGAAAAATAATTATTATAGAAAGAAGTCCAGGACCAATATTTTAAATAACATAAATTTTATAAAACTCTAGAGTGCCGTGTAGGTATATGTATAAAAAAATTTGATATTTTTTCATACATACGTGATTAATAAAAAGTGAATCTATTCTCGCGGTGCCGCGTTAGATAAGACTTTCTTAGGCAGATCATTATCGCCGTCCACGTGTGTTTAGTCCGCGGGAGCAGAGTGCAAAAGAGGTATTATATTTTTTTATGAGTACAAAGTACACTAGACTAGAAGTGCGTGATTAACATATTTTTGTACTCATCGAAACTCTACTCCTTTAAGTTCTTTTTAGTGATTTTTCTTTAGTTTTAGGAAAATAAATATTAATCTGTAAAAATGACAAAAACTTCAACGATCATAATATATCTATAACATGTGATATATATTTTTTAATATGTACAGATAATTATAATTTTTTCTCAAGATATTTAAGATATTGATTGTTGCTAGAAAAACATAAAACATAGAAACAAAAATTCGTTAATTTTCTTCCTCCGTACTTTTCTTCTATACATTGCTTACATTATTTTTACATTACGTAAAAAATAAGAGTGTTCTATGCGTTACGAAATAGGTTTTAAACGTAAATAGGGTTTTATGCAGAAATAATGTCGAGGTTTCTAAGGAAATTGTTCTCTCAGAAAGAGTCTTTAAATATTGTTCAATCTCTGTGAAAGAGGAAGGTGAATCAGTGGGAAAAGGTAGACTTGGAAAATTCCGTACTTTCTACACTAGATTTATGATTTCTTATCATATTCTGATAATCGCAGTAATCGTAGTATATGACGAACTAACATTTGTACTTTTCTTGGGAAATGTTTTCCTCTCTGAGATCTTAGATCTATTGTCCTTTTTCAGAGACACAAACGTCAACTAATCCCGAATAATGTCCGACTTTAATCATTTCTTCGAAATTGCGTTCCTATTGCAAACAAATGGCAATGTTCAAACAATACTTGAAGACATGTTCAATAGCACTTACACATCATTTAGATATCATTCAGATCAAATCTTTGATTAATAAAATTGAATAATATCGTTATCATTCGTTATCATAAGCCGTCCTGCATATAAAAAGGGAATAAGAGTAACGACATCGAAAGAATCTTGTTTCTTCAACAAGCGACTAAACAGCAAAATGAAGAGCGTCGTTTGTATCTTGGCACTGCTGTGCACTGCTTTTGTGAGTCCAAATTTTATTTAACGTAACGATTTATTTTTAATTAACGAGGAAAGATCTAATTAAAACATTAATTGCATCCATCATCTTATCAACCTCAATTCTTATAAATAAAAATGGATTTTTCTCTTCTGAGAAAGCAGAGCGGAGATATTACTTTTTTATATTTCAATAACGAAGTTTATGTATCTTTTTTTCAGGCATTGGAGCAAGATGTGACAGACCCCTCGCGCACTCTCGAGCGATTGGTGAATCTACAAAAAACAGCCACCGAAGCTATACATAACGGTCTAGTGTTTTTCGAGGAGCGAACGACGCAGAACCTGAAGACGAAACTTAACGAATTGAAAACCGAAGCTTTGGTGGATATTCACAATACTATCAACGAGGCACTCGAAAATGTCAATGTGAGCATCTTTTATTTTTATCATATTTAACATAACATAACATAACACAAGTTGGATAAGAGAAATATTTAATAATGTAATTAGAATCGAAGTCAACCTTGTTTAAAATAATAGATAGAGTACGATCAGATTACATTAAATTATATGCAGTTTCAATGTAAACTAATGTAGTCTGATCTTATTCTATCTAATATTTTAAACAGGGAGCGTCATAGTTTTAAAACGGATTATGAGAGATGTATAAAATATACTTATTACTTTTCTAGTTGTCTATCGACAAGGGAAAACAAGAAGGTAAAAATGTGAACGAGTGTTACTCTTATGCAAGGAATAATCTCGAGACGAAAAACACAAATGCGATTGCTACATTGGATACGTGCATCCAAAACGGCCACACGGCCATGGAAGGCCCATTAGCAAACGTAGCCAACAGTATTGAGGTAATTATCATTTTCGTGATTAAATTCATCATTTACTAGAATTGTGCAGACATTACGATTATAAAAATGCCTATATTGTAATAATCTTTATAGTTTACTGATACTATAAAATTGCGCCTTCGATTAATAACTTTATTGTTGAAACATACGATTTATACGCCTGCAGTTTCTGTACAATTACATTGTGACAATAGCAGGAGTATTGCAATTTGTAATAGATACAAATAATATTTGATTGAACATTTCCAGGCGGCGAAAAAATTGCTGAATGATTTGGACGCTATCATACCCAACTGTTACTCTACGAGCTTCCTTAAAATGCAAGCCTGCGTCGTGAAGAATCTTTTCCTGACCAGATCAACGCTGAAACGTGTCGGTGCTAATGCCAGGGAGGTGACCAGTACCGCGGGAATCATATTTGCGAAAACGATTATAGACGCGAGGAGTTGCACAACGACGAACGCCGCGGACACCCGTTCTTTCAGCACGGATATCGTTATCTATACCGATAATTGCGTGAGAAACGCACCCGAGGGTACTCCCGAACCGTCTAGTACTGCGAAAACATCCTCTACTGCTACACCATCATCATCTAGTGCCAAGCCACCGTCGTCTACTGGCAAAGCATGAGCTACTAAAACCGCCAACTACTCTCAAGCCCATTGTCTAACTTTTCTACCTAAAAAACTTCAAATTTCACAAAAAAAATAACTCGATACGAGACTCTACTTAAATTTTAAAAGATCGCGCCCGTTTTCATTTCTCAGACGAAACCGTCATGCATGTGTCACGTTAAATGAAATCAGCATTATTAGATTCATTTTTATGAAGTGCTATGTATTACATATACGAATAATTGTATATGTATATTGCGAGTGTATTTAAAAATAAATATTTTATATTAAACAAATTTCCTTTCTTCGACGTGAAATATTTTATATATTTCACACATAACGTCTTGTGCTGACTACTATTGCCTATTTCTATGTTCGTATTTTAATAAGGATAAAGTTTACGCTTGGTATAGTATGAAATAAGTAACAAATATTAAATTTAATACGATTTTTATAGTTGATGCAATTTTTTTATATCATTCCTTTTGTAGAGAAGATAGATTCGAGTACTTTTTTTAACCAAAATTTTACTTGTTATATATTTGTTCTTTCTACGCGTATACTTGGCCTCTTTTGTGCCTTTTTTAAAAAATTATAATTACATCAAAAGATTAACGCTTGATTAGTTTCATCTTTGCTGTCGCTAAGGATAAGGACAGTCGTGGGAATAGTAACAGTAACAGCAATAGCGGCAGCAATAATAACAATAGTATTATTTATAATTGTATTTATCATTAACATACTTCGATAGAATTATACATATCATTAATTATAATCGCCGTGGTCATGATTATCTTCACTTATATACACGTGCATACGTATATATGCGTAGACCCATGAAAGCACACTTGACAGCGCGAATACTTCGCACTGTCATATATACAGAGCGTCTCAGAAATCGCGCACCTTCTCTGTTGATTCTTCGACAAATTTAAAATCAACTGTTCCGTAATGAAAGCTCGATTGGACTTCGCCTTTTACATCTATTACACTTCACACATATCAAACAGCTGCGCCTTAAACATTAGAAGTCTGTTGGATTTTTATTATTTATATGCAGATCTAGAACTCTTGAGTCCCTTCAGGAGCCCTTTAAAGTGTTAATCGTTCAGCAAGGCTATCGATATAGCCTAATCATCGTTTTTCGGCAAGTAATGTAAGTGCGCACGATTTTTGGGACACCTTGCGTATGCATATATTTCACATGCTACATTTTTATTTCATTAGGATGTTATATATACACACAGGGTGGCCCAGAAATACACAGTAGGTATTAATAAACGAGTTCGATTGTTCCTTGGTGAAGTGAATCAGTTTAGACGTCAGTCATTAGAGATTTTGCCCGCACGGAAAGTAATTTTATGTGCCCGCCGATGGCCGTACAATCGTTAAGCTAACACAAGTTGGAAGGGAGGAATCGTGTATTAGAAGCGCCTGACGTAGTGTTTCGTCAAATCTAATTATAATCCAGAGACTGGCAAACAACCGAGAATTAACAGAACGATTTGCGACTTGAGTGGCAATTACCGGTACCGCGATGCATAATACTACCGTGCTACATTGCTACTGCGGAAAAGCATGCTTACCTTGCTCTATCTTCCTAGGAAATCGAAATTTTAAAACATTTAAACACATCTCAATTGGGCGCACAATCATTTCTTTTTTTTTCTTTTTTTTACTACAAAAATCTGAAATACAGCATTGATGTGAATATTCCTCGTGTCTCGCACCAACTATGTAAAAGCTCGCTCCCCCCATCGAAATAAATATCACACGCCGTTAGGTTTAATTACTGCTCTAATAAGGACTATAAAGTAGAATTAAAATATTACAAGCGCATACTTATTGATATGGCTATCAGGATATAAAGATTCATTTTTATAACATTAAATTTTCCTAAGTGGATTATATATGCTGTCTTATTTACAAAATATAGTCTGCGCAGAACTGTTCGATAGACCATACAATTGACGATTAACTTACCGCGCACTGGGATCCTACTGTCTTATGTACAGTAAAAAATCTTAAAAATCGATGTGCATCGCGGTACAAGAAGAGGAATCTCGTTTCAGAGGTGGAATTCGGGAGTTTGCCGAAACGCTTGATAACTTGAAAAGTATCTCTTTGGCAAAACGTACTACAGACAATATATCCAGCGAAAGGAAATTTTTTTTTACTAAGTCATGTCTGCAACGAATTCTCTTCTTTTTCTTCCTAAATCGAGATGACCATACAAACATCCCTAAGTTTAAAATAATTATTTATATAAACAAAATAACATGTTTAGCATCATAATACGTGCGCAACAAGCCAAAAACCTCTTTATAATATAATTTTCTATTTCAATATATATATATATAATCTATTTCAATGTATATATATATATTGTATAACAATTGAGAACTTTTCCGAAGAGAAAACAAAGGTTTGAGGAGGTTTTTATTATTACACCATGCCATTCGCGTGAATTTCAGACTCGTTAAAACATCTTACGAGACATACTACAAAGTATCTTAGTAACTTTATTGTAACTTTATCTTATTTTTCGTTCTATTTCATACGAACCAGTTTTACTGACAGCAAATATTCGGTTCTGTCTAAGTATAATAAGCTATATGCACTAGAGCTCCTCTGTAAATGCAATTGTACTTAACAAATTATGAGCAAATTCTTTTATTATAATTTACTAACAGTGTACCGCTAACTGTGTTCCCGACCCATATATTATCCTCTCTGGTGCAACAACGACTCCTACATACGTTTGGAAACCCCGAGCTATTATTGTTTCGGTGAAAATTAATCGACAACAAACTAGCAAAACTTGAGATAAAAAGAAAAAAAAGGGGGGTAAAGAGATAGTTCATATGTTTCGCCATACCCGATAAGAGAGCATATTACAATACTTAAAAAACGAGATGCGAATCCTTGACTTAAAGAATAGAGATAGAGGATCTATATATGACAAGTCAAGTTCAGCGGGAGTACATAATTCAAAATTGCGATATTCCAGGTCAGGAAGTCGGATAAATGTATCTTACTCCCACGCATGTTTATAAAAACAATTATATATAATATATATATATCATACGTATGTATATCGAGATAGTTTGTACACATTCCTTTACGTATGGATTTAACTTGTTAATTTTCTTTTTTTTTACCGTGCACTAATGCGTTTCAACAAAACTATTCCGACATTATTGAGACGTTCCTTTTTGTTTTTACGGACACAGAGGAAGATTGTATAATAACACATCGAGATAAAGAAAGAAATTTCGTGACTTCCTGCACACATAAAGCCCATCGCAATATATTTTCCGCGTCCTTTTTGCGCAGGCGACGCGAGTGTATCTGACCTGTGCATTCTTTATTAGTCATTCGAGATATTACCACTGTTCCAAGACCTAGCAAGCACATGAATCACCTCTACCGTTGCTTCTTTGGTCGTTGGTCAATTTGATTTGATCCGGGAATTCATTGTAAAGTTCGACCTAGGATTTACAAAGATAAAACGATTTATGAAGATAAACTTGAGATATGCGAATCAAGGAGGAAAAGACTCCCATGCTGCGCTTACTAATGTACTCACTTCACTTTCTTGAGCTAAAGCGTTTTTAGCTATCGTTTGGAAAGCTTGCTCGACATTAATAGCCTCTTTTGCACTAGTTTCGAAATATGGAATATTGTTCTTTGATTGACACCACTGTTGTGCTCTCTTGCTCGAGACCTAAAGAACATGGAAAGAACATTAAATGTCGCCAGAACAAGTCGCACCACTATTTTAAATCAGATCCAAGTATTATACTTAAAATAATATTCAGTGCGTGCATTAAATTACATGAAACTATGTATAAGACATTAAATTATCTCAAAGACTTGAAAATTATTTTGCTCACCGCTCTTGATTCAAGATCTACTTTGTTCCCGAGCACGACGAACGGAAAGTTGTCTGGATCTCGGGGCGATGCCTGAATTAGAAATTCGTCTCTCCATGAATCCAGGGATTTGAAGCTAGTTGGAGCGGAGACGTCGAATACCAGGACGCAGCAGTCCGCGCCTCTGTAGAAAGCCACTCCTAACGACTGAAACCTCTCCTGTCCAGCGGTGTCCCAAATCTAAAGCAGAAGAAACCCGGTTAGAAGAATCTAACAATAAAACAAGGTATCGGCGACGCACTCGGATAACCAAATGTGAGGATTACCTGCATAGTGACTATTCTATCCTCCACCATCACTTCCTTGGTCAAAAAGTCTGCCCCTATTGTCGCTTTGTATTGGTTACTAAACTTCTTATTGACGTACTGATTCATCAGAGAAGTTTTTCCGACTCCCGAATCCCCGAGGATAATGACTTTCAGCAACACTTTCTTGCGGGACGCCATTCTTCGCTGGAAAGACGGGAAGCGACGTTACGACATTAATTTTCGCACGAGTAAATGCTTGGGACAAGGATCGTTGTGCATTTAAAAAATAGAAGTCGCTGTAGCTAATACACTTCCTTGTCATCAAGTAATGTGATTCTTCCTCAGATTGCAGATGATTCATGGCCAAAGGACACGCGGGAAAGGACTTTTTAGTGACTTTATAAAAATTTGTCTTATAGATTTATATAAATCTTGTAAATTTGTATCTACGAAAAACGTTAAAGTATTTAACATCCTATGTAAAACTTTAAGCATACGTATAAGAAACGTTAACAAGCGAGACATATAATTCATATACTCTGTGTCCACATGAATATATAATAAAAATGGTGCATGACTTTTTAATTAGAACCACCGATTTAGATATCGCGATGTTTTCAAATGCCATTGTATAAGCAAAACAAAAATTGTACAATTTTTACCGCTTCATACGGAAAAATGATGTTCCACAAGCCGCACCTCCAAAGACTCGAGGTTCGCCGCAATTTTTTGCAATATTCAAGAACTTGCAATTTACATATGCTTCGACGTAAAAATAATTTTTTAAAAGTCACGTTACACGCGGAAAATCCCGGACATCGAAGACGGAACGTCGGGCTCCACGCGAACCGTAAATACCAGAGAAAGAGAGCTCAGCTTCTGACATTACATTCCATCCGTGCCCTTTCCACTATTTACATAATCTCTCGTCCGCGCCGAAAAAAAAACCAACACTATCGCACCCAGGGATCGGACCCGCCGTGCATCCGGGACGAATGATCGATCACATGAATCATCCAACAGAGGAAATCTGCTAGTGGCAATGACGTATATACGTACAACGCACTCGCCGAGAGGAGAAAAAAGCGAGCGAGCGAAAGAGCGAGCGAGATAGAGAAGAGAGACTTTCCTCCCGAGACCGTTCGAGGCGCAAAGCTTTTAACGAGGTTTTCACTCGTCACTACGGAAATCCGCGAGCTCGGGAATATCCGGACAGCGGAGCGACGGAGAGGACGGCGGGCGCGCGGGCTGGACGCGACGGCGAAGCCCGCTCGGAGCCTCCGACGTAAAGCTGTCACACGCACGGGCGGGCAGCCCGTTCGCGATCACGCACGGTTATTCGCGGGGCACGGCGCGGCGCACACCCGGGACGGGGGCGAGAGTCTGGCGGCAGCCGCGTCAATCCGGTCGCGCGACGCGAGTCCCGGGGGAGAAGGAAGGTCGGGATCGTCGCTCGGGGCAGCTCGTTACCTGGGGCACTCGTCAGGGAACACGGCCTGTGAAAACACCTCCACGCTCCAGCGTTTCGCACAAAGAAAATGGCGTGTTATGAAATCACGAGAGTATGACAACGATGTCGTCACCTGTTCGCCTCGCCTCCCTTATCGACCGAGTGCAATCGAGTGCATTACTCGCGGCCGGGTGGCGTGCGTTCTCTCAGTGAGAGGGATCGATTGGAGAGAGGTCGGCCGCGCGACACATATCGATACTCGATGTGCGAGGTGCGATGGCGCGCGGAACTGGCGCGCGCGCGATTGGCCCGATGTTTGAATTTTGCGGCTCACTTCGGTTCACCTCGACTGCTTTCGCGAGCAAATCAAAATGATCCGGATGAAAATGACCCTGCGCTGTGATTGGTCAAATCTGGAATTTCATTTAAATTTCAATGCGCTGCTATGCAACTTCAGATTTGACCAATCGCAACGCGCGCCGTAAGTCCCAGTCTACAATAGAGATTTAGTCCCAGTCTACAATAGAGATTTAAGCCCTAAGCCTTAAGAAATTGACTAATCACAGTCGCGCATTCTACTCATACTTGACCGTGATTGGCCAATTTCTTAAAGCTTAGGGCTTAAATCATCTATTGTAGACTAGGACTTAAGAAATTGACTAATCACAGTCGCGCATTCTACTCATACTTGACCGTGATTGGCCAATTTCTTAAAGCTTAGGGCTTAAATCATCTATTGGTCCCAGTCTACAATAGAGATTTAAGCCCTAAGCCTCAAGAAATTGACTAATCACAGTCGCGCATTCTTCTCATACTTGACCGTGATTGGCCAATTTCTTAAAGCTTAGGGCTTAAATCATCTATTGTAGACTGGGACTTGTAGACTGGGACTAAAGGCCCGAACACGCGAAGAACTTAAGCAGAAAGACTTGAGACTGAAGAATTACAATTAATCGGAATTTTTAAGGCTTAAATACACGAAGAAACTTGAGCAATGAAACTTAAGAAATAACCAATGGCTGTCGAGAACGTAAGCAGCCATTTTGAAACTTAAAGGCCTTCACACATAAAATTCCGTAAGAACGTAAAGCCTATCACACAATAGGAAAGCACAGGCAATAGGAACAGGGAATAGAATTTCTGACGCGTTGGATTGGTTGGAAGAAAATTTCCGACGAATCCAACGCGTCAAAAATTCTATTCTCTATTCTTATTGCCTGTTGCCAGGCATTGTGTGATAGGCTTAAAACGTAAGCATAAGAAAATCGACCAATCACAGTCGAGAACGTAAGGTAATAACGCAAGCAGTAGCAAATCTACTGCTTGCGTCATTGCCTTACGTTCTTGACTGTGATTGGTCGATTTTCTTATGCTTACGTTTTACGTCCTTAGTCCCTAGACTAACAATAAGTCCCAGTCTACAATAGAGATTTAAGCCCTAAGCCTTAAGAAATTGACTAATCACAGTCGCGCATTCTTTTCATACTTGACCGTGATTGGCCAATTTCTTAAAGCTTAGGGCTTAAATCATCTATTGTAGACTGGGACTTACGGAATTTTATGTGTGAAGGCCTTTATGTAAATCAATATGGCGACTCAATGCTCGATGTTCATTGGTTTAAACGGTTTTCATGCTATGCACATGCAGCTATGCAATTTTGTGTGCGATGGCCTTATAGGCTTCAAAGTTCGTTTACGTTGTTTGTTGTGAATCGTTGGGTCAAAGAAGTGAAATCATGTCTAAGGTGTGTTGTATTATGAACTGTTGGGAGTAAATGTTCCAATTTGGGTCCGAATAAAATGTATGTTGCATGACGCTTCGAAGTCGAGCACGCGTAGTTCATGAATTGGCCGTTGGACCATGTTGCGAACAGCACCCATGAAATGCGACCACATTTTAACCTAACCGTTTTGCCCGAGGGTGGAAACAACACGGTAAATAATAACATTTCATTACGCATTTGTTGTTCGGAAAAACGGAATCAAGAATATTCCCGTGTTTGCGTATTACATTAAACTAGAATTACAATATACTGATTGGATGAGAGGAAAAGTAGGATTCTGGTCGAACCTTTTTTCGTATCTCTATTTTAACCCTCTCGCGAATTGATATTTTGTAAGTTTTTTACAGTAAGAGAACGCGTGCTAAATCATAGAATCTTTTCAAGTTTTGTAAGAGGGACTTGCATTGTATATCCTAGTGATCAGAAAAGGGCTTAAACAACTTTGGTTTTCAGTAAAACAGCAAGGCCGTAACCGTTAACTTATGCCGGAATCGGTAAAAACTGTCCAATCGCCGTTAAACGTGAAGAGAATAGTTGACCGTAATTGGTTAATTTTGACCGATTTCCATACCATAAGTTAACGGTTACGGTCTTGCATAAACTAGCCGTAAAGCCCGTATCAGACTATATACGGATTAAGATTGGGATTAGATTGAAATTTGACAAATCACAGTAAAGTTTACTAATCTCAAGTTTAGTAACTTTTACTCTAATTGGTCAAATATCAATCTAATCTCAATCTCAATCCTTAGTCTGATACGGGCTTAACTTGTTAGCTACAAGCCGATCCCAGATGCTTGTGATTCTCCTTTCCAATTTCTGGAAAAAAAAACATTATTTATTTGATCATTACGTTTTAAATTTCACGGAAAAAAAATTAATTTTCTCGCAGAATAGGATGCGTTTCTTCCTCGCTTTCGATTAGCTAAAAACAAATCAATTTCTCCATGCGGATTGCGGTTCACATAAATATGTATAGCGAATATAAACCTGGCGCTGATTGCGTTGACATTTCGCGAGCCGCGGCGGAATAAAATCTGTGTTTATAGTCGCTATCCTTGGCATATGCTTCGCCGAGAAAAAAAAGAGACTGTGCGGAATATATGTATTGCGGAATTTTACGATTTTGCAGACAAATTAATCGCGAGTTACCTGGCCGTACGGTTTACGAAGTGTCGCGAATACCGAACAGGATGTCTCCGAGATGGATCGCCGTTTCGCAATCGAATCCTGTTGAATTCCCGAGGACAAGGATAGACGTGCCGAAAGTATCGTAAGAAGGTAAATCATTTGAATTTAAAATTTTTTATGTAATTCAAAAACATAAAGTCGCTTTAGCGCCATTTTAACGTCACTTTGACGTCATGCTCCACGGGGTTTCTGCGTAGAATTATGAATCCTCGAATGCGTTTACAAACTTCTTGCCCAAAGTGGAATTTTACAGAGATCCCCCCAGGGAATTCGCACACGTCTGATTCTGCGTTGGAGCGCCCCGAAAAGTTGGAATTAACTTAAAACTGTCGCTTAATATAATTCTCAATTAATTATGCGAAGACAAGCACGTGCGAGCGGCGTAGGACGAAGCTGCGATGCTAATTAATGTTACCCAATATTACCGGAGACGTAGTCAGGCGGGGAAGTTACGGCGGGGCGTTTCGCAGCCTCATCGGCCGTCCCGTGCGAATTTAATAATCGGTCTGGCGACATCTCGATTTTGTTGTAGCTAAACTTGATCGCCAGTTACGAAATCGGCATTTAATTACATAGCAGACTCGCAGAAAAATCGCGATGGACCGGTAACGTGGGTGTCGATAGCGTCCTCCCTGTCTACTTTAATCACAGCCGAGACTCGAAACGAGAGACGAAGATGATAACGCTGGGTGAAAGTAGGTCTTGCGGTCTATTCGGGCGAAGAGACCAAAAATCTCGCTCGCCTCCTCGCGCGAAAGGAGAGGAAGAGAAGGAAAAACTCGCGGATGAAGGAGCGAACGTCGTCCGCAGATTCGTCAAGCGAAAATAAGAATTCGAAGTTGAAACGAGAGATGGTCCGTGGCGATTTGTAATCGCTCGGAGTGTTGTTGCTTTAATGCGCCACTCTCCAATTAGGTTTCTCTTAAATTAGAGTGAAATCGACGTTGGGAGACAGCGTTTTATTTTTTTTCCACTTGTTCCCTTGCTCGATGCAATTTTAATACAATTTCAATATAGTTGATTTTAATCCGATTTATATTTAAGTTTCAATATAATTAATATATGTAGAGGAAAGTCCTCTATTACGAGATAGGTTTCTAATGTGAGATAGCGGGTTTTCAACACCCAAATTCTATCAAATCTGTTTCCGCCACGATTACACAATCTATAACAATCATTTTTCCACTAAACAGGTTTCACTCCAGGGGCAATAAATTCATGGTGGAATCAACTAATGTTGCTTATTAATTTAACAGAAACCCCATTATCTTATATTAGGATCTTATCTCATAATAGGGGACTCTCCTGTATATTAATTGTATATTAAACATGTAATAATATGTAACGTATATTACGATTAACGATTCTGTACGCTGAGTAACTGTTTGTTCTTCTAACTTGGCCTTCAGTACGCAAGTATAAATCAATATCCGATTGCCTCATTATCTCATAAATACATACTTTGTAGGCAAGGTGGACTGCCATGTTCTATACCGCCCACTTCTTTTGTCATGTCATCATATTCTCGTAACACTGAATCCCGACATTTCTCGCGATACTTTCAAAGAAAAAGTAACATTGTCCATCGATAGCCGTAATTCAGAAAATTACGTTATTTGTTTTTTACGTTTCTATCGACATCAACGCTAAGTCGTACAATTTATCGACTGTTTTCGATAAACATCGCGCGACTTCTGATCTCCGAGAGACAAAGTGGGAACGAAACGGGCGAGGGTGACAAATGCGATGCGCGTTGAATTAAATAAGTATTAATTTAATCACATATAATTACAATCACACGTATTTGCGATACATACTGCCAGACTCTGCTACGGGATAATTTGTCGTATGCCGAGAAAGAGCTTGAGTCGACTTAACTAGAAAAAAAAGTGCGCCATTACCGATTATCGTTAGAAGATATACCGTTCGAAGGGCTGTCTGGGCCCTTCGAACGCTCTCTTGTGCGAAATATAGTAGGGTAATCACGAATCAGTGTACGCCGAGATATCGGCTTAACTTCTTATTTCTTGAAGAGATACTCATTATACTTTCCTATGGACTTCGCGCGAAATCACATCTGTCGTTCCGTTACTTTCTTTTAGAAATTTTTGTAATTAGGTAAACCGTACGTTCGGAGGTTGAGCAGCTAAAGAATACGGGCGAGGCTGATGAGAGGTGGCCGCGGGGTGGATTATTATACGATAAGATTACAAATCGGAGCGGGACGCGGGGGAAGAGGGGAGAACGAGTGCATCGGAAAAGCTTTCGTCGTGCTCGTGGCTTGCACAGAGGTGCGGCCTGAATTTATATACAATTAGCTTAATCTGGATCGTGTATGGGATCGGATCACGTTAGGGCGAGCGAGCGGTACCGCGGTGTGGCCTCGTCGCGATCGGCAGAAACCTTGCGCAGTCCTTGTCGAACGATCCACGATTCGGAGCCGGACACGAGGGGGGGATCTGTGCACCTAGCGAAACGTACAGCGACGTCGTTTGATGACAATTTATCCTTTCCCGGGAAGAAATAACGTAAGATACAAGTCGTTCGAAGCGGATCTTGGTACAAAATAAAGTCATTCCGTGCGCGTCTTTACTTCGCTAGGTGTTCGCTAGGTCTTGCTCGGGAGTCTCGAGGAGACGGAGACCTCCGAATGCGCGTTCGCCACGTGGACTCCGGTCGATTAGTCGTTGACAGGTCGCGCCGAGTCCGCCGGCGATTGGAGAACCCGCAACCGGGGTCCAATCGACCTCGTCGAGGAGGCTACACCGCAACCTTCACCCCCCTGGACAAGGCGGCCTCTCGCTGCTGTGTTTTGGGCTTAGGGTTTCGGCGTCTCCGGCTGCGCCTTCGCGATGGCGTCGCTCGGCGGCGGCAGGGTCGGGATGTCCGGGTACTCGAGCTTGGCGCCGTCCTCGCACTCGAAGATCGGACAGCAGTCGGGGAAGCTCGCGGTCTTGTTGGTCTTGTCGGAGAGCTTGCACTTGGAATTGGCCTTGGGCAGCGGGCCGCAGTCCTCCACCAGCTCGAACAGACGACCGGAGTTGTCGTCGGCGGGCACGCAGGTGGAACGACCGCAGAACGGCGCCAGCTCCCACGACTTCGTCGGCTCGATGGTCGCGCACTTGGTCGACGCGAAGCACATGCCCGGGAAGTCTGCAAACGTAGGAAATCGCTCTTAGAACGGTGAGCATGAAAACCCTAAGGAGCTTTTGAGGATTGTTCGATTCGTTTTTTCTACATTTTTGTAGAAAATACGGCCGTACAAGTGACGTAACGAGTCGCTTCAAGACGTGAATTTATTCTTATTATTTCAAAATGAAATTTCTTTCAGTTCTAAAGAAATGAAATTTATTGAAAAAGGTCTATTTTATTTCATCTTATCGTGTATATCGTCGGTGGCGAGTGTGGCGCAGAGAAATGTGCGCTGCTTAGTAACCAGCCAAATGAACGAAAAGACCCCGAGTTCAAATTCACGGACACCGCGCTGGTTCTTTTCGGAATCTCCCAAAGGGAAGTGACAACCACCGAGAGTATCTTGCCGCACACACCCCTTCAGGAGTATAGCCCTCCAGATGGGAGGTTTCCTTCGGCAAGATTTAGCAGCCTACCGAAGATGAAGTAAAACCAAATGCTCAAAGTACCAGAACGAGAGCTGGATAAAACAGGCTTTAAGCCTAATACACGAGGAAGAAGAAGCGTCAACAAATTTCTAGATTTATATACAGTTGTACAAATAACGTAACAAATTATTGTAGGGCGCAATAATTCGTTACTACAATTCGTTATACAAATGAAATCATTTACAAAAATACGGTACGACAAATCTCCGTGCCAGCAACTGTTTCTGCGACGAGCGTCTCCCTTCCGAGTTTAAGAACGCGTTAACATTCTAATCCGCTTTGACCTGTAGGGATTCGCGGATTTCTTTCGTTCACTTTTCACTGTCAGTAAATAAGAGCAAAGCCGGTAGCAACCGGCTCGTCCGAGTCGAACGACGAAACAACGCGGCGATTGCGTTTCCTTATTAAGGAAATTTGCTCGCCCGCGAATTATCTCGCTACCCCGTCATGCGCAATTCCGCAAAAGTGTCGTTACTTTCTAACGTGCCTTGCGCGGCGGACCGTCGCTAATGTTGCCCGTTAATTATCCTAGCCTGAATTATCCAGGCAGATGAAAGAGCCAACGCGTGAGAGCAGGTGCGATTTTTAATACCGCGTTTTGCACGCCACGATGCATGGTGAAATCGAGGCCGCCGAGCTTGACGTTTCGCGTCCGTGAATTTATCCCGGCATTTATTTCGGCGACAGATCGATTAATTACCGCACGAATAGCACGACTGATCGTGATTAACTGAACAAGGATTCACCTTTTTTTAAATTTTTTACGAATTAGCGTGATAATCTGTTGAAAATAAACTCCGAAAGAATCCCTTTCCGATACGAATCCTTGTAGAGTACAAAAAGAATTTCTTTTGCATGCGAAAAAGAGCTCAGCATTGATGACATAAAAGCAAATTCTTATCTAGTGTATTTTCAGACCAGAGGCTCAATCATGAATCTTTTCCTCAAGCGTGAACTCGTGAAAAGTAAAAATTTTCATTGACAAATGTCGAATTAGTTAATGAAATTTTTCGCTTTTCACAAGTTTACGCTAGTGAAAAAGATTCATGATCGAGCTCCAGAAAAGAATGGAAAGATAGTTCATTTCAGAAATTAAACAAAATTCTTTCGAATCCTCTGGGCTATCTGGGCGATTTCGTAGTTGATTCTTCTCCAGCGACGGATCTTCAGCACGATACAATACATTGCGCTGATATTATCTTCTTATTATCGCGAGCGACGGAGCAATTCGCTTTTATCAGGAGTCGTTGCGATTATTTATTAACTCGCTTATCTTACCTTTCATTATCTTCTAATTATTTTTTTCATTTATATTGTATTGTCTTTTAAATCGAGTACAGCCCGAACGTTTGAAAAATGTTCTCGCACCTGCGAACGCTTCGCTTTACGACGTCGACACTGGCGTCATTATCCCTATTGTAAGCGACTCGACAACGAACTCGCAACAATGCCCGCTGGGTTCGGCAACCTATTTTCGAGCCAATCCGTATCTGCAACACGCCTAATGACAGCCGCAAATTTCACTTCCTCGACGCGGAGCCACGACGCGACGGCGACGACGACGGGCGCAACGGCTAATTACGGAGCCAAACTGATTTGTAATCGGCGTATGTTGCCCCGATATCCATCCGAACAGCACAGAGGATCCAAAAGGAAGAATTCTTTCTGAATTCCCAAAATTACAAAATGTGTTCCGTCACAAATTCGCTCTTGTGCCACCAAGTCAGAGCTCTTTTTCGGGACAGAAAGGAATTCTTTGTATCCAGAACAGCTTTAATTCACTTCCACAAGAAGTTAAAAGGTATATGCTTCTACGGAATCCTTTCTGAACCGCCGGAAAGCAATTCCGACGAGTCCATTTCGAACAGATTGTTTTACAAAGAATTGAGAGAAGTGAATCCCCTTTGAGTTCATAACGAACGCCCGTGCTATTTGGGCATCTACGACGGCGAACGGGAACGAGGAACACCCGGTGTTTGCGTCGTCGTTCACCGGTGATCGTGCTAGAAACTTCAAGGAGAAACACTTTCACTGTCATACACCGGGCCGGTCGGTTGCGCTTTTACGCAACACGCCGACGACAAATGTTGGGCGTCGTTACGACGTGGACGTCGACGCGTTGGTTTTACTCTTGCCCGCAGTTACATCAGCCCTTCGAGGCCTGTCGAGCCGGTGACTCACGACGAAATCGTTTCACCTGAGAGCGCGAGCGAGGGGACCGTCGAGGATCTTTGAAAGACTCCGGATCGGTTCTCCAGACCGAAGCTGGAGAAATTTAACAAACACGAGAAAGAGAGGCACGGCGGATCACGGACGGATAATTTGTTGATTTTCAATGTTCGCGCGTTGCTTGAAAGCGGTAGGTTTCGCATTGTAATTTAATGGCTGCGTTCCGAGATTCACTGTACTTACTCTAAAGTGTTCGGAGCGAAAATGGAACCACGGAGTGAAATATTCGCTCCATTTTCACTCCAAAACTTTAGAGAGCGCCAGTACTAAAAATCTATAGCGTACGTAATGTAAAGAGAATTTTCTCTTAAAATTTATCCTGAGAACTGTGTGATCGTAGGCAAACATGGTATCTCGAAGAATCTGATTTACTGGGAAAATGTGCAGTAAAATTTCTAAAAACTCATAAAGTTCTTCGAAATGCCATGCGATTACATGATTTTCAGGGTAAATTTTAAGAAAAAAATTCCCTCCGTGCAATGAATATCGACTCACTGGCCGTGAATCATACTGGTATCTTTCTCGTTCTGCAATTTCACGTCCAGGCACGATATCCGTAGAGATAAGACCGAAAAGAGGATTACGCCTCTCGCACATACGTCAGGACGTCTAGCCGCGTAATCCAGCGCTGGTCCCGAGCGAGAGTGCGCCGTGCTTCGCGAGGTTTCAACAATGACGTGTTCGTTACCGTTTTCTCAATGCCGCGACTCGATCGGCGTTTACGGCGCCCGACTTAATGATCCTGCGGTTTTCTCGTCTCGTCGCCATGAAATAGTAAACAAGGACACTTGTCAGAGAGACGAGAGGCGCAGAGATTATGGTCTGCACACGCCGATTTAATTAGAGATGCAGGACTCGGATTTCGAACTAAAAAGAAACTTTAATTTAACTTAATCCTCCTCCGACGTCACGTTTTTATATTTGACGCAAATCATTTGTATATCTTCTCGCGTTATTTATTGTATCACTATTGCCGCTCCTTCAGTCTTGAGGAAATTAATTCCTCTGCAAGAGATTCACAAATTTTCTCAACAGGACGTGTCGAATTGAAATTAAAAGGGCACATTTTTCTTTACTTTCTTTCAAAAATACCTCTAAAAACCGCATTACTTATGAGATGACCCAAATACAAAAACATTAAGAGAGGAAAGTCCTCTATTATTAGATAGGATGTGAAATAGTAGGGTTTCAACGTTCAAATTCAACGACAAGTCTTTTTTCGCAACGATCACACGATCTAACAATCAATTCTCCACTAAACAGATTTCACTCCAAGGGCAATAAATTCATAGTGGGACCAACAGATGACGCCTATTAATTTAGCAGAAACTCCGCTATCCCATATATTAAGATCCCATATTAATCTTGTCTCATAATAAGGGACTTTCCTCTATTTTTCGCGAGGGTATTCTACGCCCTCCTAAGCAAACCCAGCTCAATCCTCGAGAAGCTGACGAGAAATGATGAAGTTATAACTGACTATTACATTCAATGATACAGATACGTGAGCTTCTTGCTTCGCTAATCTCGAAAGTCTCGCGACGCAGCTTCTTTTCCCCTGATTTTACCGCGCTCGATCCCGCCCGCACTTTCATCGGTCGCCGGTTGTCACTTCTGGTCTGGTTACCACTTTCCTGGGTGCGCTTCTCGCTTTCAAATAGCGAGGATACTTTCTGCGACAAACGCCGTCACCGTAATTTTGAACAATAGCATCGGAGTGTCTTAAACGCGTACGAAAAGAGCCATCGATATTTCTTTTTCTTTCTGCGCTAAAAAAGATCAAAGGAATTAGAAGGCGATTGTCGCGCTGCTTATGTACAGGTGTTAGGGCATTGTTTGCACCGTTGTGCCAAGTGCCAAGGCTCGTTTCCGCGAGCTCGTCACGTATTCGAGGCCCTCGCCTCGCGCGTATCTGCGACCTTCCGAGACGGCAAGTAAATAATTCAATCCTTCCTGCGAACTTCCACGCCCGTGCGATCCTGCCTTCGCTACAATTCGAGCAACGAGGTCGTCCGTAAATTCCCCCCGTCATCGCTCTGCGTGACTAATTCGATTATTCATGGAAATCCAGGTCTGCGCCGACAAATAAGAAAGAACGCGGCCACGGGTAATTAAAGACTGAACGCGGGACCGACGGTCGCGTTTAGCCGAAGAACATCAAGGATTTTCTCTCTGGAAGGCGCTGAAATTGATCTATCGCTCGCGGTCACGCGGTCTCATTGGAGAACGTAATTTCACGACACCCAAATTAGCAATCTGTATTGTACGAAATGAATCCTCAAAAGAATTTCTCTGCGGTAGTTGAAGAAAGATTCCATAGAAGTATACCTTTCTTAAGCTAAAGTTGTCCCGAGTACAAAAATAAAAGTTCTTTTTGTATCCTTAAAAAGGCTCAGAATTTATGACATAAAAGAGAGCTCCCTTTGAACTCTTAAGGGCTGCGTCCACGATGCTAGAAATCGGTCCAAGTTCTAGTTTTGAGAAATGTGTAGCCAATTAACTTGTAGCTTTTATGGAACAGCTGCAAGTTGATTGGCTACACATTTCTCGGAACTAGGACTTGGACCAAGTTCTAGCATCGTGGACACAGGCCTTCGAGGATGATTTTGGAGCAAAACTGAACTGGAACAAGAATTGATTCTACAATTCAAGAACTTGGAAAGAATTCTCTTTGGATTTTCTGTGCTTCTGGGTCTGACGATCGATGACGTCGAATAATAAAAAAAAAAAACTTGCATAGTGCATTGGTTCTCAATTATAATCGCGTCTTCATTGGCGAGGATTCTATTTTTTTAGCGTATAATGGTAGCGTATAAAAAACAGACTAAATCTGAATTAAGTATACAGGCTCGTGGACACCAACACTTGACGCCACGTCGATTCTTTTGTACGTATCGTTTTCCGAGAACGTCTCCGAAAAGCGACAGGTTTCGTAACGGTCTCCTTAACTCAACCGAGAGAAACGCATCACTGCACCCCGCGGACCGTATAAAGAAGAAAGTGATATCGGGAAAGGGAGAAGGAAGCGAAAGGGGTGGGGGGGGAGGGGAGTTTATAAGGGGATCATAAGGTGATGGTTACGGCACGAAACTTTCACGCGGTCTCGTGATCTTGACGCCGCGTGTAAAGCGGTTTTCGCTATTTCTCTCGACCTGTCCGTGGGATCTCGTCTCGTGATACATCATCCCGCGTCCTTGCGAATCAGGGATTCGCAGGGACCGCGCCCGCGTTACGAGATAATGGGCGAGCCGACGCAAAAAGACGTCCGGCGGTTACGTTAATCAGGGTCGATTCACGCATGGCTAAATACTTGCGATAAAATGCCGAGACGCGATAATTATGGAGCGAGAAAAAGTGATAATCAAGGCCGACGCGGGAACGGAAGCGAACGGAGGGATCGCGAGGTGTAGGCGTGGAGATGCGATTATCTATTCATCTGTTATGATCATCCTATAAGTAATGCAGGTTTCTATATAGAGATAATATTTTTTTAATGAAACAAAAACAAATTTTTATCCCAGATACATTTTCCGTCGTTATAATTTCTTTCGCAGAAAAAGTTTCCTTTTGTATCGTATTATTTATAAGATGACCAGTATCGAAATTCAACAGAATTCGCGGGTCTCCCGCGACTCCTGGCGATTCTGATTTAGGATAATAAACATTTTCGGTTTACGCAGAAGCGGATCTTGGTTATTCTCTAAGTAAGATCGATCGAAATGGCACGAAGCCTCAAATGATAATTAACAGTTCTACTTTTTATCAGATGCAATTAAGCGCAATGTGACGCACCAATCATGAGGATAAAGTTGACTCTACATTTCTTTCCTTAGATTTTATGTAGAGAGATTCTGTGTATATGGAGCGTTGCTAAGCCTTTTCTTATACTTTTCGCAAGAATTTCACGTGACGACCTTTTAAGATGACTCGCTCACCTCCTCGTCACGGATGGCATTCGTGACACGACGTTATCGGGATTCCGAAACAGCTGTTTAATACGCGTGACAACGCATCGTAAGAAAGCCGAATGTCCGAGTACCGGTTGAAAATATCGACAATTCGTCCCACTTGTCGGTCATGTACGTATGCAATTCTTTGAATTCGGCCAGACACCTAACGCAGTGATTCTCAACAGTGTTTCACGCCTCGTTTCCTTCGTCTGCTCGCGTAGGCGAATCCACTTGTAAAAATCTTCAGGAAATAAACCTGGCTTATATTTCTATGAATGTTACACGGACTGGCAGGACGTGAACGTTTACACAATACGCATTGTTGTTATTCTTGATTGAAATGCACCAACGAGCTTAACAAGGCTGTAGAAAGACTGATCCAATTTCCAAATATTCATCTTGCAAGCACGGAAAAAGTAATATCAGAGAACATATTTGAGAATTAAAATTTGTTCGCTGATGAAATGATGAAAATAATTCATATGCATTACTCCTTGAGTTTTCGCGCGAACTAAGAAGCACACGAAGACCATCGCTCTAAAGACGATATCTCTTCTTCGGCAAATTAGCATACAACTTATTACGCTAATAGCTGACACACACCTGAGACACGAGTCTCTGCTGTCAGATGTATTATTTAATTGTTTCCATCTTGCGTGATAATATCAAGCGATATTAGCATCGCCTCACGAAGATAAAGATTGCTACTTCAACGGCGAGATGCATCGCGATAAAAATATTCTTTCGCGAAGAAATATCTTTTCAAAGCTATCTTTCATCGAATACACTGTCGAGTGCAGTGTGAAAAATCGAACATTGAATGAAGACTTCTCTGACTGTCCTTCATTTATTCGGCGATCTTAAAAAAATTCTTACAACAAAATTATCCAGAAAAAAGAAACAACTGCACCGGCAGTCTTTTAGACCGCAAGCTTGTCATAGCGTTAGGGCCCGAGCAGAATGGCTGTCTTGTACTCTTAAGACACTGTTTTATGTTTAAAATCTTTGTCTTAAAGTAACGCACAATAACTGTCTTGTGACTTAAGAATACAAGACAGCCATTCTGCTCAGGCCCTAAGATTCATCCGTCGAAAGGGCCGGCGCGGGTCAACTCACCGCGGAGAACGTCGGCGGGTATCAGCCTCCGGAAGGTTTTCGGCCGCTCCTGCTCCTGGACATCCTGGGCGGCGACGAAGGCCACCGCGACGCACAACAGGACGAAGATGGTCTTCATGGTTTCGAGCCGGGAAGCGACAGACGGATTCACGAGGGGTGGCCTCCTTCGCGATGGGAGGGATGAAGTGAAGAGGAGCAGAAAAATGGAGCTTCTTGTATCGATTACGACTGGTTGGGCCCGATCCCCGTGGCGGCATTTTATAGCCGGCCATCGGGCGGGGTCCCTGTTATCCCCTCCAGGATCAGACGTGGTCTCTCACCTCTTGAACCACCAGTCACCGAGGCATCGTTCGCGACCGGGACTCCAAGTGACGCCGGGGTCCACGCGGCAGGTGGGTAGGGACGCGTGCACGCATGGGGGACCGACGTGGCCGCTGACTTTGGCCGTGCCCTGTCCCGGTGGCGAGATTCGTTCGACGTGGGAAGATAAAAATTTCTGCTTGCCACACAGCGAGGACGTTCCTCGACTTACGACCAATCGAGAGGCTTCAGAACCGAAGTGCGAACGGCAGACAAGACTATGTTCTTCGGTTAATTGTCGGCGAAGATTACTTCGACAAAGTTTAATTTGACGCTTAACGTTACAAGGACGTAGAAAATTGGAGAACTGCAATAGATGATGACCAACCTGGACATTTCCGTTGAGGAAAAGTCGGCTCCAAATTGGCCGGAGGGTCTGTCATTGAGAAAACATCTGTTGGCGGTTTTGAAGCATTCTCGAGATAGTGTGTAAAGCACTACAACCCATACTCTGAAGTCCCCTTTGTCGATGAAATGATGCCCGCAAAAAAATCTTTTCAGTCAATAAGAATGCTGCAAAATCACTTTTAGTGGCACTTGTATCGATAAAAGAGGATTCAAAATGGACCTACGTGTACAGAGTTTTACCTTTTTGAAAAGGTTTCTTTTACCATGCCTAGTTAATTCGACTCACAAAGACTATTCCAAGCTAGTTTTGCTTGTTGTCGAGCGCTTTCAAGAGTAGATTAAATTATATCTAAATTTATTGCAATATGTATTGACAGCACGCTCGCCTTGTAAGCTTAATAGACCAGGTATCACGGTGAGTTTATAGACAGACGTGAGTTAATAAGCGTGCGGCGAGATTAATTGACAGACAACTGTTCATTATCTCGTACTATAATCGCGAAATTGCTGCAAACGTATCTTCGGAGACTAATGAGTTGTCGTTAACTTTCATCCGTTCATCAGTAAATCTCAACGCGAGCGTTCATTAGCGGCATTCAAAACGTGAACGATGTGGTGTTTGTAAAATTCTCATCTGTTTCAAGCCAGTATGGTTTCAGATCAGCGATAATGGATCACGACGGTGATGACGTGGCGTAAAGAAAAAAAAAGATACCTTGACTCAAGACATCCTGTACGGACGCATAAAATTAATGACTATGCATCCACGGATTATGTTACTCCGTTACTTGGCTAAAGGCTACGTCAATTTCAGCCAGATACATTGTAATTAACACCCTGTATATCAAGATGCGTGCGTATGCGTCGCGGTTCCGTGCGCGGCTTACGTGCGGCATGCGAGAAGAGTTTAGTTGCCACGTTAGAATAACAGCGTGGAAAAAATCTACACCGCTCGTTTTCAGCATTGCAGTTGCAAGGGGTAACAGTGGTACGCGTTGAAATGTTAACATGACAGAATTATAATAAAATACCGTTGTCTGTAATGCAACTTGAGTGGCACCCGCACGTTTAACGAGGAAGAAGGGCGTGTCGCCGAGGAGGAATACGGTTTTAAGTACTGTGGAACCTCGGCGTTTCGAAGAAAGAGAGAAAGAGGGGACCTTAGAGGAATTTTACTTGTTAAACAAGATCCTCTCCCCCGAGCGTTCATAAATTTAATCGGGACTTAAATTCCGTCGCCCGCTCAAAATCGATTTAGATCGGGATTTATGGCGATGAATAATTTACGAAGCGGACGCGGTTATACAATGTAGAACCAGCTCGAGAAACTGGTAATGTAGCTGCGAGCTTCTTAGGGGAATGCTATGTGGTAAAAATAGGCTGATGTTATCATCTCGCAATTTATCACGCTAATCATTCTGCATTTTATTCCCAGTACTGCAGAACGACGATTCAACGCTGCGCCCGTTTCAGCCTCTCTCGGCTGCGGTTTTGTGTAACTCGCGCGAAATTCTTCCCTCGAGAAGCAATTGGGCAACAGCCCAAGTCGATATACACGCGAATATCGAAGCGTCATTAATACAGGCCTCTCGGGAAGGAATTAACATAGCCATTAGTAATGCGGTGAGCGTTAGGAAAGCCGTGAGCAGCTGATTCATTTTAGCGTGAAGAAGGAGTTGCTCAAAAGGCGCGACCCATTTGTATAATATAATTCGTATGTTTTGTAAGTAACCCCGGATTAAGCGCGGAAACGCACGTTGGGCAATATCGTGCGCGTGTTGCAATATATCCACGTCGAGATTGAATCTCTGAATGATTCTCTTCTCCGAACGCCGACTTGATGTGCGCAGTGCGCTGTGGGACATCCTTCAAAGAAGATTGTATGACATACGCAATGTCGCACGAATGTTAATTGGCTAGCCCTAGTAGCGCAATACATTGGCGCAATATTGGGAAAGAATGTAAATTTAGTATTCCCAATATTGGTCCAATATTGTAAGACGGATGCCTTTTCTTATTTAGCCAATGTGTCTAATATTGCAACAATATTAGACCCATATATTGTTATTACATTGTTAATTATTGGCCAATGCGCTTCCAATATAAATCTAATATTATATAATTATTATCGTGCAATATTTACATTCATTTCGGCCAATGCATTTCTAATATAATCAACATTGGGCCAATATTTAGCCAACGTTTGCCAATGCACTGTGCTACTAAGGTAGATTCTGAAATAATAATAAGCTATGTTCCCTCGAAAATCGATATCAAAGGATAAAGGGATACCGTCGAGATTGAAGTTAAATTTCGCAGCTTCAATAGTTTACATATAATATTTCTTACTTAATTTCTCATCTTAATTGTTTTTTTGCAAATTTGCTTCGTTAGGGAATTAATATCCTCCATCGGAACAGTCTCTTCTGAGTGTGCGAGATACAATTGGAGGGGCGACATCGTGTTGCGTCGCTCACCGAGAAACCTTCACCACTCGGCTGTCGGCCTCGAGCGAAGCGGAGGCTGAGGAGATGTCTTTTCCAGCGACTTGGCGTTGCCGTCGTGGGTGATGCCACCCTTGACTTGACGACTTGGACTTTGCTCTTGGTCAAACCGGCGACGACCCTGACGATTTTGGGCCCTTCTTGAGACTCCAATTATAGACGATCTCGGCAACTGGCACCGACAGCGACTGCCTTGGTCTCAGTCTCTTCGCCTTGACATCGGCCTTCGTCGACACTTCCGTCTTCGCTTTGAACTCGATGTTCGCGCGGACTCCACCGCGCGTTTCCGCTTGGACTTGCTTCGGTTGATGAGAAGAGGTCGTTCGTCGTGAAAGAAACGGAGCACCGGCGAGCAATTAGGCTGAGAAACAACATACAACCATTCGCTAATCGCTAATATTTGTTTAACAATTCGAAAAGAAGTCGGAAGAAGAATTCAAAGAGATTTCTCGTACTCACTTATGTATGTACATACGTGACGTGTATTTAATCATGTCGCAAGAGGGGAAGAATTGTATTCCAACAACCGTAAATTTCGTTGCAATTTCCAGGTCTACAAGAATGTTTTATATTCTTCCTCTCTTTTCATATGAAATTAATTTTATTATCGTATCCGGAATTGAACAATAAGAAGTGTCAAATATTCTCATTGCATTTTTGCATGGACTGAGTCGATTCGTTCACAGTGCGACCACAGAACGAGTTCAGCTTTTCAAGTTTAATTGGGACAGACATTGTACTACTTTGAATTCTTCATCTCTCATACATAATATAATTAATTTTATTGTCGTATCTTCAGCACTGAAAAAATAAGAACTGTCAGATATTCCCATTAAATTTTTGCCTGGACAAAGTCGATTCTTCCACAGTTCGACCACAGAACGAGTTCAAGCTTTCAAGTTCAATTGGCTATTAAAAAAACTTAAATTGATCTTTATATCCGGCAGACATTGTCACGATCGAGAGAAAATACAATTTGTCGCAAACTCGGGAAGGAAACCTCTGGCAGACCGTACTTGAATTCGTGCCGGATGCGCGAGTGATGTAATTGCTGCGAAGCCGGCGGAACTCAATTGGGGCGATATTGTGTGCCGAGATTGCGGGACAACGGCCGGACTGGGCACGGCTCCGGGTAGCATGGCACGACCAACGCCTAATGGTAATTTGGGATCTGCCCAAATTGGAGAAAGTTCCCGAGCTGATTTTCGCACGCGAGAATCGGCGTTGCACGCTGTTTACTTTTACTGTCGATCGCCTTTCCCAAAACGAGGAATTCAGCGGCGAGTCGAAAAATTAAAGAAATAAGAAAATCAATATGCATTTATATGCATTTGTAATTAAAATTATTTTATTGGACACTACAACCTTGTTCAGGCTCTGAGCCCTTTTTTCATTACTCGATTTCATCATACGAGCCATTGTTATTTATAATAAGAAAACATCTATCCTGTTGCTCTAAGTTCTGTAAGACTAGGAGAAACAGTCGCAGCTTGAAAATTTAATTTTTCATATTACAATTACACCTCCAATGGGATAACTTCCTCAATTACATCACGTGTGATTTCTACCATTGCGCATACCGGTACCACCATATTTATCTTGTAACGCATTTAGAGATAATTGTAGAAATAAATCGCAGGGAAACGTTACTTGACGTAGAAAAGTCGAATGTCGTTACTGGGTATAATTAATTGGGAATCCGGCTTATGTAACACTGACTATGTAACAACTGTCGTTCATAACGTTAGTCATAAAATATAGGGCAATAGGAAGACTGAGAGTTTTGTGTCTCGTGGAGTGAGTGAATTGTAAGATACGTCAGCTAACGCCTGAAAGAAAATATATCAGAGAGTGAGGCACAGAGGTTCGCAATAACCGAATGTTTATTTATAAAAACAACTGCTGTACGTGAAATTATAGTTATTCTTCCTGGTGACATTTGCGCAGTCGAACTATGTTATAGCTAAAATATTTAAATGTCAGCTAAAATGATTATATTATTTCTCTGCAATGTATATATCATTCACTCTCGCACGTAGCCGGATCGGTTTCAGCGTGAAAAGGTGAAAGCAGATCGTATGGAATAATCTGTGGAGAGAAGTCCCGTGTAATAAAGAAAAAAAATCGCGAGAGAGAAAGAGACAACGATCTCTTGAGCGTGTTCTCCATGTATGACGAATCTGGAACTAAGCCTTGACACCGGATAGTACAATTTAGGTCTTCAGTTTATGAGGAACGCATCTAACGAGGCATCTTTCGACACATTCAACTGTTATTGTATAATAATGTAATTTTTAGGCGGATTCGACCATGCTACGTTTACCGAGCCAGACCTGTTAAATCGTAAAACGGCAGGGAACTGGTGTAAAATCATTTCTGAGTTGCCTTATCTACATCTGAATTTCTACGACTTATTAGTTCGGATACTCGTGTCGCTTAGGCGAATCGAACGATATCAATTCTTGTTGTTACTTGTCGCGTCGAGGAGAAACTAAAGTCAACTGTAACACAGTAAACGGTTGTTTGTGGAGGATAGGCGAGAAAGTGGCGGTGAACTTTTGAAACTTTCCACGTGAAAGTGCAAGTGAAGATGCTGCCTGTGCAACGAATATTCCGATAAGCTGATTAAAACACAATTTTTCTCGCAAGTCGTACCTTCGAAAATTACATTATATATTAATAATTAATTAATTTAATTAATGATTCAATAGTTCATCGTGACAAAGCGATTAATTGGTAGTGAAAGAGTTAAACATTGAAGTCGAGTTCACTTAACGTCAACCTTAATACAATGACATCTCATTGTTTCTATCTTTCTCAACTGAACCAAATATATTATGGCAACTAGTTGAATTAAAAGTATACCCCAGGTACTTTTTCTTTTCCAAACAGTTGCGTTGCGTGTTCGTTTATAAAATGGTTCGACCACCGATTGCCTTAAACCGCAAATACGACATGAAACATTTTCTTAGTTCTAAAGTATAATATAACAAGGATTGCGAGAATTCTCGAGGATAACAATAATAATAATAATAATAATCAGTCATTGTTATCGCGCGTACAAGCGTCAATCAAGTGAGTTTCATCGAAAAAAATCTCATTTTTGCTTCGAATTTTTAGAAAATCGCTGATGCACGCAGGATATTATGTACGAAAATTAAACGTTCGGCAATCTATTCGCGATATCATATGCGCTTCGAAGAAGCCAAACCGATATATTCTATAGAATACAAAGAGTAGAAAAAAATTATGAAGTGACAAACTAAACAAAATTAGGAGACTTGCAAGAAACGGGGACTAGTTTGGTCCTCGAGAGACTCGTTTACGAGCATCAGGTGGATTACAATATGGAAATTGGCCAAGCCGTGACGGAAATTTCCATAATGAAGATTGCCGGGATTTACGATGCGCCTCGCCGTTTTTTCACAACGTGTAAACGTGCTAGGTCAATGCAACGGCGCATAACGCGCTCGTTGCAACAGCTCGCGATGAGGATCTGTCATCTATCCGGCCCCGTCAATTCAAGACATGCCCATCCTCTTCCTGTTCACTTTGTGCTCGTTCGCTGCAACTTGACCGTTCGTGAACTTCTTTTAATATTTAATAATATTTCATTACTTAGTAATTTCATGTGCATCATGGTTTTATTCACAAATGAATGAAAGATAACGTTTGGTTATTGAAATTGAATGCTTCAAGTTATTTCTTACTCCACTTTACATTCTGACTTCCTCTAATTTTTCAGAGAATTTTGATTTAGTTTCAATTCCCAAACTGAAAATTATATTGGGATTTTTATAATCGCATTTCTGATTATTTCTCAACAGTCTTTGAAATTTCTTGAAATATTAGATAGCGCCACGTCTCTGCCGATCATGATCTTCTGATACTTTATTGATCTTTGTGTCGAAAGCTTCACTTAAAATTCCACAGATTGCAACTTTTAGATTTCCTCTTTATTTGGAACATGCGAAAGTAGACGTGTGGAAAAATATTTATTAAATCGATGTTTTATATCATTAATGCGTATTTTATTACATTCTTATAAATTATATATAAAAATTACGTATGTCATATAATATTAATGATACATATATACATACATACACAGATCTTTTGTCCAGTAACATTAATTACACACAATTTTCGACAAATTGACATTAAATCGTTATTAAAATAATGTGTGCATTAAATTATCGACATGTTAATTTATCGAGCAATTCTTTTAAACATTTAAAAATATTATAAAGACATTATAAAGTGTAACATAAAAAGTTACAGATGTCATATAGACGATTATATAATAGTTTCTGCGAAAATTTCATAAGACGCCTTCAAAATTTTTTTAAATGTCTCCTCTTTCTGTCTATATATACATATGTATATGTATGTTATCACACAAATTATTCTACTGAACGAAATTATACGGATTTAAAAGCGATCCTGAATAAAACGTGTTAAAAACATTTTAAAGTATTATAAAGACGTCATAAAGTGTAACGTAAGAAGTCACAGCTGTCATACAGATGATTACAGTTTCTGCGAAAATTCCATAAGACGTCTTCAACATTTTTTAAAAGTTCTGACGACATTGTTACGTCATATTCTCTTAATGGTTTCGCATAATCGAATCTCTCATCGAAAAAGGAGTTCGCGTTAAAAATGGTAAACCTGTAAACTCATATGTCGAAGACCAATTCGAAAGCAACGAACGCCCTAATCAGTACTCTTCATTTTAGTGATCATAGAATCGGTAAGCAACAATCATGTAATATGCCCTTGACACAATTCCAATCCTATCATTCTGCCATTGTTACATTATCATGAGAAATTTCCCAGTGCAAGTAATTATTGTAAGCGAACGTGCGGCCAACTGCGTAGACAATCGGCGGGAAAAATGAAATCGATGCGTCTGAAAATTATGCTTGCGAGACGGTGCAAAGTAACGGACACGCACGAGAAGAGAACTGTGAAATATTTATGAGAAAGAATTGCCGTCGTTGCAAAAGGCGGAATATAAATATTAATGCTTAATAATTTATTTTTAATATTAAATTAACTAGTGGGAAACAGCATGAAATCACATTTTAATTAGGACAATTGTGCACCGACAAAAACTAATGAGTTGACAGAGTGAATTTTTTGACACGTCTTGTCAGTCTCGAGATAACGGTAAAACTAAACGAACAAATTAATTTTTAATATCTAGCGTACAGCACATAAATGCTAAATTCTTGTCCGCTATATCTTGTGCTATCAAAAATTATAACATAAAAATTTCCAAAATTATTTTCCGATGTCTTATCCTACATCTCAACATCAGTGTTGTTTAGCAATTTAATTTTGAGCATATAAAATCATAAAATGGTTTGTACTTCGCTCCAATATTAAGAGAGAGTGTTTTGCGAGCAAGTTGGTCTCAATCATCGCAGGTGCAAGCGAAGATTATTTCTATTTGCACACATAACGTTATGCGTGCAATAAAAAACATAATTCTTGGCGGTTTGTCGCTGAAACATATTACGTGAATAAGTAATTCTGCAGAAAATAAGTCTTTATCCCAGATAACGTTTCTCTTAGGTTCTCCGTTTGCTTACGTGCCACTCTTCCAAAAAATATATAATAAAAATTATATATATAATTATAAATACACGATACATATAATACGGAAAAATCAATTGTGTGGCAAATAAAAATTGAGAATGTGCCCACAATTTTTCCATGTTTATCCACTTGTATTTCCAATACGAAAGTAGATTCATAAAATTAATTTACGCTTCTAGGTATAACATCATTAGTAAAAAATCGAAAAAAACTTACTTGAAGATCTCTGAAAATAACGAGTCTTTCAATTAAAAAAATAATTAAATTTATTTCGGAAAATATATTTGGATAAGTCAACCTGAAGTCAATCATGCATTCAAATATTTAAATGACAATTGAAAAATCTTACGATTGTCAGAGAACACAATTTGAAAAATACAAACTATAAATAAACACCGTGGTGTATAAAACTTTCCTCGCTTTTGTATATTAAATTTATATCAATGGAAAGTCTCTCCATTTATTCGAAGATTAGATTTGCTAGTTATTCTTTATTAACCAAATTAAAAGCAATTATATTAATGTAAAAGATAACTAAATTTAAAAGCAATGCGAGTGTTTAAAAGAACACAAATGTACATACACATTCTTTTGTCTAATTCAGAAAAACACTCTCTCCTTTTACTTGTTATATAACTCGAAATAATTTATATCTCACGTGGAATCATTCTTAAATAATGTTAAAAATAAAATTTTAGCTGCTATTCCCATCCACCAACATTATCGCTAAACATTTATAACTATTGTATATATAATTAAATTGCACTCATATTTTCTACAAACTTAATACCTTAAATGCAATATATCAAATGATAACTTTTTTATCAAATTTTTACATTTTTGCGAAGTAGAAAAACTCACAAAAGGAGAAAAACATTAATAAACAAGCTATCACCTTTTGCTCATGATAAAAAATCTTTTTTATTTGCTTTTATTAATTTCGTGAATATCAAAGAAAATTTGCGACAGAAGAAATAAAGAAACATTGTGAAATACATGTGACAGACTATTGATTTAAAACTAGGTTTCCGATTTCGCGCACATATAAACTTTACGGTCTATATAAACTATTTATGTACATACATAACTTTCTCCAGTTATCTGACGTTATATATATATACATACTTATATACATCGACAATTATCCATAGTTCGAATATAATCCACTAGTGTACCATTATTTACAGAGAATTACTATTGATGGAATTTTGTAAGGTTCACAAGAACATAGCATTTACATTTTCTTTTTATCATTCCGGTCAAGCAGTAACGATCGTCACGCGTTATGTATCCCTAAAACAAATATGTAAAAAAGTAACGTAATTTTTCAGTAAATTATTAAGGAAAGTCATTTTTTTTCTTTCACATCCTACTTTAAATCAGAATATCGATTTATCTTTGCTTTTCTTTCTAAAAAAATGGAAACTTTTTTAGAGAGAGAAAAAGAAAAGTTACAATTGTTGCCATCAGCAATTACTTTGATCAATCAGTAAAATCTGATAACAAACTATATTGAATATGACATATATTTTAGTCACATGAGAAGACAAAATTTCTTTATACTCCATTCACATTTTCATATTTTTGTATTTAAGAAAATATCAATAATCCATGACACTAGCTAAAATTATTCTAGAGAAGCGAAACGTTCCTGCCAAACTTGCAAGCGATGTGCATTTTTTAAAACTGGATCAATGATAGGCGCAATTCGATTTATATGATTCCTAAATCTCTCTCTGTCCCGCGCCATTTCTTCCCATGGACCTTTTCGGGCTGCCCGGTATGCGTAATCCCAGGTTATTATGGCGTGTACGACAGGGGTCAGGTTGAAATTCACCTGAAACCAAATTTCGAATCTCGATATTCTCTGCTGATACGTGCACACATGTAGAAACATATCTCGTGTATTTAACATCATGTTATAAACTGTATAAAAATATTATGTATTTAGTATTAACAATCCCAAAATCACTTAGCGCACAGTTGTGTTAAAATAGTAAACGATCATTAAGGACTCAGTGATATTAGTCAACTTGAATTACGGTGAAGTAAAATGGATGTCGAGGGGAATATACAAAATCTTGCAATTTATACAAATATGATCAATTAAATCATCCAGTTCGGCAAAGTAAAGTTGCCAATGTTAATATTCTTAACATTAGAACAGTTTAATATTGTATATCAATGTTAATGTTATAATAGATTTCTTTACTATTTTTCTCATTTAAAAAATGACAATTTACTACTATGACTGATAGTAAGTATGGAGGATTTTTTAAGTACCTTCTTTCGCGCCGTTAATTCTTCATAGTCTTGATCAACAAAGACAATCGATTCATCCTTGTCTTCATCACAGAAGCTAATTTCAAAGTCATCGTCGCTCGCTTCAGCAGCATAGGAATTATTAGAATCCGTCGTTTCTTGCTCGTCCAAAGCCGTGAAATTATGATTATTGCCTTCAAACTCGATAGAACTCTCCGATGACGAGCGCAATCGAGACGAAGCTCCCTCAGAATTGTGGATATAAACTGTATAAAAATATTATGTATTTAGTATTAACAATCCCAAAATCACTTAGCGCACAGTTGTGTTAAAATAGTAAACGATCATTAAGGACTCAGTGATATTAGTCAACTTGAATTACGGTGAAGTAAAAAGGATGTCGAGGGGAATATACAAAATCTTGCAATTTATACAAATATGATCAATTAAATCATCCAGTTCGGCAAAGTAAAGTTGCCAATGTTAATATTCTTAACATTAGAACAGTTTAATATTGTATATCAATGTTAATGTTATAATAGATTTCTTTACTATTTTTCTCATGGATCTCGCTGGTAAAATCCTTGTACTTCTTCATCGGAGAATTATGTACATGACGTGCTCTGGTAGGGTATTCTGTCGCTCCTTGTTTCTCACGTGTCTTGGGCAATTTGTCGTCACCAACCTCCTTGCAAAAGATCCAACCATCCTCATCGTCAAAGAAGTACTCCATCGAGTGCAACGTATCCTCTTGTGCATCAGAAATTTCGCTGTCGTTGTCCTTGGAAACATTTATCATCGAAGGTTTAGCTGTATGACGCACCTTGGTCGCGCATCTCGCTTTACTTCTCTTCTTACGCGCGTTCGGTTTTCCCTTCGTGGGCGATTTGGGGGAGCTGGACATCAACGGACAGTTGAGCAGTTTTGTGGGATAAGTAAGATCCGAAATATTAAAGTTGTCAAAATTACAGTCTAACAAACAATCGTTTGACGCCGCGTCGACGAGAGGGTACTGCATAAGCTCATGATCTTCGTGCTTGACACATTCCATCCGGCATATGGTTTGGCTCACTCCGGAGCGCCTCAGCTGACCCTTCCCTCTGCCGCGACCACGGCTCACCGCGACAGCGGTGATTATTCTCCGGTGGTGCAGCTTCATCGACGGACGCTTCACGGACATTTGCGCTGACTCTGGTTTGCAGTAAAGACCGGACACGCTGTTCAAAGACTTTCCCAAATTTCGACAAACTTGGGAAATACATGACATTAGACTTTCTATGAAATCCATGGCTGGTACGTCCAACTGAGAAACCATGAGAAAGGATTCGACATCCGTGTCTTCGTGGATGTCTGTCTCACTCTTCCACATACTGTCCTTCGTTGTCTTGTCTATCTTGCTAACTTGCAGCATGAAGTGAGATTCCATTGTACTATTATTTTTGTATGTGTTGCCAGAGCTCTTTACGAGGTTTGCATCATTTCTCATCTTAATTGATTGTAAGTTGATCATGTGGTCGATATCTATCTCGGTGTGACATCTCGCTACAAAGTGAGAAAGCATGGACTGGATATACCTTTTGTGGTATATTTCCTTGATTATACGTAGAAAACGTCGCGCAGCATCGAGCATGCTCTTGGTCATCGCCGGCGAATCTTTCACGAGATCAGATAACAGTATCTCATTATTTACAACCGTAGCGTACGACCGTATCATCTTACCGTTCGGTGACCACATGTCTAAGTAACTGCGCTTCCTCATTGTGAAAGGCGTTTCTGGTTCTGTGTACTGTACGGGATACATGCTGAATTTTCCACAGGTGGAGATAGCTTGACGAACACGTGTTCTAGAGAGGTCTAAACGCGCAGACCCAAGGAGCAATGGAATCCCTGGCGTGTTCCAACTCAAATTGGTATTCTGCCCCTACTTCTCGATGTTGTCAAGTAAGCTGCCAAAAATATACACAGATTAGAATACGTTTATCCACAAGTTAGAAAAATTATATGGTTTGATGCAAAATGCGACATTTGTACTTTACGAATTTTAGGGAGATCTTGGTTATTAAAACTCCGAATTACAAAATATATGTAAATATACAGGATGAATATTAATGGATGTACCAACCTTTTATCATAGGAGATGAATTACCAACCGCAACAGTAGCCAAATCTGGAAAAAATGGAAAAATCTCGTTATACATGTCTCAATAATTTAATATCTAATTGTATCTCGAGAAATATAAATAGATATTACATGATTGAGACGCATATAATGACATTGTTTTTCCATTGTTTCTAGGTTTGGCTACAGTTGCGGTCGGTAATTCATCTCCTATGGTAAAAGGTTGGCACATCTGTTAATATATTCACCCTGTATAATAATAATGACAATACAACCAGAGAGAAACCTGAGAGCAACCACCGAAAGTCTGCTAGCTCAGACACAGATACGTGGAAAGAAAGATCTGCGGAAGAAGGATTCGCTCACCCAATCACAATTTTAACGTTGTCAGAGGACAAATCCACTAGCATTTACACACTGTGGTATCAAGCCTGAACTTGGATATAAACAGTTAATGTCAACACCTGTGTCCACCTCAGTGAGGTTTACGCCCGGTCTACAATGAGTTGTTAGTCGTTAGTCAGAAGTCGGAACTATATGTCGGTCCTTTTTCTTCCACCCAGAAAGGAAAAGGATCAACATATAGTTGCGACTTCTGACTAACGACTAACGACTCATTGTAGACCGGGCCATAAACATACGAGGCGAAGGAAGTCCAGCTGAACGCAATCCAATTTTTCATTACAAATGTAAAACAAAACTTGAAATTGCCAATTTTTGTTGGGGCTCTTTTCAGGCATTTTATATTTTACAAAAGAGAACTCGAAGTTTGTCCATCTCATTCGGTCAGACGTTTCAATAAGTTATTCGGTAACTATTCCCAGTTTTGTAAAATGCTACCTGACTTTTCTTCTCAGTCTAACCCAATCTACCACTATTTTTTGTAAAGGTACTCTTGCGTCAGACAGACCCTACAGGATGTCTAATGCAAGAGTACCTTTACGAAAAATGGTGGTAGATTAGATCAGACTAAGAAGAGAAGTCAGGTACCATTTTACAAAATTCGGAACAGTACTCTCGCGTATCCTGTACATCCTGTAGGGTCTGACGCAAGAGTACCCTTACGACACGTACACACGTCGATGTGCAAAACATAAGTATTACGGAACCGAACTTCTTTTCCAGGACACTTTTTATTTTGTAATTCTAACTTGTCGAACATATCCGTCATATGGACTATGCGTTTCCTTCTTCGAATAAATTTCCCTCCCTGAAATTCTTCAGAATTTCGTCAAACATAAAATTTTATATTTATATCTTCTAGAAATGTAAAGAGGGAACCTTGATAATTTCGCCTAATTTCACAATTGAACTCTAAATTCCAATTGATCAAAGGTCAGCGATCAAAAATTAATTAAATAACGATTTCTATTCCAAGGTCTCGGAAGCTCAACTCATAAAGGAAATCATTATATTCGGTTAATCAGAATCCGAAGATTTACCCGGGAAAAAAACGCTTTTCAATACGTCAAGGGCACGGCCGTTGACGGGAACGCTATCGGGCATTTTTCCTCAAATATGTATTACAATCAGATAACGCGTATCGGAGAATTCTCTCCACATAGATAAACACTCGGGCCGGGAAGGGTCTGTTCCTCGGTCCGTTCTTTATAGCTGAACTGCACTAATGCAGAGTTGATCTTTTTCCCTCCACAGTAGGTGGGGAAAGATAAACTCTGAATAGTGCAGCCAGTTTAGCTACAAAAACACAGACCCAAAATGTGCCGCGGGAAACGTCACGGTCTTACATGTAAGTGCGTGTAAGACCGTGATAGTCACGCAATTATTCAGCGTATGGATTTAGCCATGTGACACACTAGTCAATCGTCCACGCACACATATCTGCGCGCACGTCGCACGCATTCACGCGCGCGCGGGTGCATGTTGCACATACATATTCGTGACTTACGTGAGATAACACAATCCTCGCGGTCGAATGGCGTATCGGCGTAACGTCGCGTACAATGCCACAGGTTTTCCGCGGAGCGGTGAAAACAGCACGACTCGGTGACGACTTCCTGTAATCGCAGATAAGCGTAGTCCTCCGTGCTAACTTGATTCGATTTCGCGAGGGCGAGAATATCCTCCTCAGATGTACACATTTTTACAGCATGCATGTTGACGAGATATTTCAAGCGGCCATCTTCAATTACAAAACGAAAGTGGTAGCGACGAGCGCGCAGGCCGCGCCACCAGGGCCACCAGCTAGAGGAACGGTACGAGTGGGAGCGGGGTCGTGCATGCGCGGAGCAACTTCAAGCCTACTTGTATGGTATGGTATAATGAAATTGACGCTGTGTTTTTGATACGTACGGAAAGAAGATTTGGTAATTCTTCAGTATAGCTACCCCATCTCAAAAATCAATCAAATTGGTATCATTCGATGCGATTTTCAACGAGAAACAACTCTTTCCTCAGTCAAAATCGTAGCTCTGTCTCGCGAAGCGAGATATTAATATGTATATACATATATGAAAAGTATAATTTATGTGTAGTAATTTCTAACTTAACTCTAAATTTATTCTAATGAAAAAAAAAACAGAATTCTTGTTCGGCACATTTTGTGCACGAGGCAAAGGTATCTCGGAACAGAATATCAATATATGTATGTATATGTATAATGTATAATACCTACATCAAAATCATAACCAAATTTTTGCAGCAGAAATTTTGACTGCAACGACATAATTTCTCAATCTACTTGATCTGCAAAGTGTATTTTTTATTATTTTCGTCTTTTAATACATAATAATTTCAAATATATTACAATAAATGCACATAATTATATCTTTTAGAGCACTACACAAATGACAGTATATGCAACTCAAATGTGATTATTAGGAAAAATAAATTCATTGATCATACATCATACAAGTAAATATAGGCAGCACGGGGAACACCCATTCAATACTGAAACTTCGTCTTATTTCTAATTTCCTAAAATTTCTTGAGACGAGATTACACTTTAAGTAGGCGGTGATTCGAAAGGCGAACTGTACAAAATCCACAAAATTATTCTTACACGTAAAATTCCGCGCGACTATCCCCAACAGTATTCAATACACTCGGTGGACATTGATCCAGTGATCTGAGAAAAACGCTGAAAAAAAAAACTCTAAGCATAGTCGGCGTGTCATCGAGGTTTTCCATTTAGAAACGATTGGCTGATTCATATGATATGCATGACGCTGACGAAACATTCCCCGAAATTGGCTCACGTGTGTCGGGGTAACAGGTATACAAATGCAACGAGTACGCGGAGTATTCGAGTATATACGAATGCAGTTCTTGCGTAACGCAATTGCATATTCGACATTCGCGCTACCCACCGAGGTAACTCACGTCCAAGCTGGTCAGAGCGAAAAGCGACTTCGCCGTCGCAACGTTCCATTCTCCTCCGTGCCGATCGCCCGGGTTACCAAGCAGGGTCACGAGTAACTTTTCAGACCCCTTCGTCCCCCCTTTCGCCCACTCTTATCGCTATCCGTCCATATCTTGTACATACCATCATTATTATCAATTATAGTTTCGAGCAATGTTAGCAGCGTTTACCAAACGTGCGTGAGTCACGCTGTGCAGGTAGACGGACATGCGAGACAATGGCGTCAGAAAATGCACGACCAGATATCGACACGACCTTACTATACAATGTACGTGCATAACGGAACACTTTCAAACGGCTTTGTAAGAAACAGAAGAAAAATACGATAGGTATGCATTGTTAAAGACACAATGTTTTTAGAGAATAAATCACTTTTTCTCTCATGAATACGCTGACGACTTATATTAGTTTATTTTATTTAAATTTTTGGCAAAACGTACATGTGAAAGAGCAAATTCTTCCTCCGCCGTGACTCGTTTGATTAGCAATGTGGATAAGCGGGTTTCGGATAACGTGTCGTTCCCACCGCGCTCGCAAAGGCCAGCGAAGATACTTTATTGCAAATATTGTACACTTCGTTTCGGACAAGTAACGGAAATAAATTTACAATCCTTCTATTTCTTTCTTACAGTTAGATTCATCGTAAAATACAGGACTATCGAGAGGTACAAAATGCTCAGAGGTATTGAACGCCAATACCAAATTGAAATTGCTGGAGCACGTCGCTCCTCATGAACAACAATGGTGTAACTAGGTTCAATTCTATACGGGCAATGTTTCCTAGTTTCATCGCGATGCCCCCGCCGATGGCGCAGCGAATGTTCTCCGTGAAAATCTTCATGTTTTCGTTGTACAGATTACCTGAAAATTTCGAACACGCGTAAGCGTTCGTGTAAATCAAATTAATGAGCTGTAATGAGATTAAGCAAGGATTATAAGAGGCCAGCGCTCCATAGACAAATTATTAAGCCCGTATCAGACTACGACTTGAGATTACGATTAGATTGAAATTTGACCAAATCAGAGTAAAGTTTACTAATTTCAAGTTTAATGACTTTTACTCTACTTGGTCAAATTTCAATTTAATCTTAATCTCAATCCGTAGTCTGATGCGGGCTTTAGGGCCGATACAAAGGCAAAAATACAATTGGAAAAACAGGCACAATCACTATTGATCGCGCAATTACTATAAATTTTTTTACTTTTTAAATATTCCTTAAATTATAAATACTTAGATCTTCTTTGAATTATATTTCAATCTCCTTTGAGTTACACAATTGTATAAATAAAACTTTAAGTCTGAAAATACACTGGAAATAATCTATCGAATTACTTCGCTCACCGTCCGCAAACTTGATATCAGACAGATTGCCACCGTTAATGAAGCCGTGCAGCCTAAACAAATCCCCGAAGCTGTTACGGCCGGGTCTGAACGGGAGCGGCGTGTAGACGTGAAGCGCGGCTGCCCAGTACATCTCGCCGCCCACCGAGTTGCCGTCGGAGCGGGGCCCGCACCCCCGCATGTCGAATCCGCGTAGATTCAGCGGGCCGCCCAGGAAGAAATGATCGGCGATACTTATCTTCATGTCGTTGCTGATTGTATTCAACAGCCCGGACTGAAGGCCCAGCTGGAATGTCTGTTCGAAGGCGGAAAAGTCGCGATGAAATACTTTTACGATGTATACAGAGTCGGGTTGGACAAAAACAAAGAATCGCGAGAAACGAATACTTACAACGTACTCGTGAGGCGACCAGTTGGTCTGTATGGCAAGTTCGTTCTTTAAGAAACCGATATCGCCGCCCAGGCCAGCCATTTCCGTCGTCAATCGCATGAGGCTGCCGGTAACGGGGAATATAGGCGAGTCCCTCTTGTCTATCGTCCAGATGTACCTCAGCGCGGACTTCAAATTCGGCCCGCACTGCTCCCGTATGCGAAAAGCCGCCTGTTTTGAGCAACTGATGTTCCTAAATGCAGCTTCGTACTGTACATTGTGCTTGGAGGTGTCCGTCTGATTTAGCTCCATGTCGAGCAGCAGCCCCTTGTCGTTCTGCTTGAAGCCGGACCACGGGAAGTCGTGCGTCGTGCTGAACACGGTGCTGGTTAATCTGTAGAGCGTTAATCCGACTGTTAACCGCGACTCCGAACGCGCTCGTTATAAGTTAGATACTGGTACAGATGTCCCGACTCACACTGCGTTGTACAAGCTCTGCGGAAATGGTTTAATGGCGGATACATTGAAGTTGATCGAACTTTTGTTACCGTGTGAATATTCCATCTGGACACGCTCCGCCCTGCCGAACAGATTCGGCGCCCTCGCGCCGATGATCAGGGACCCCTCGTTGTTCCCGACCATCGTGCTGATACCGCCGACCAGGCGTCTCATTTCGCGCACCTTAAAAGTCACCTGACGACAAACGCGATTCGGTGAGCGTCACGGACAGACGCACGGCGTTGCGTGCGGCGCGCGAGGACGAGAACTGCGTTACGCTTAAATCTAGAGGAATTACTTATTCTTTGTCTAATTAATTGTACAATTATATACTTCTACGCCGTCGGGGGTGGCGTCGGGTCCTTGACTGGTGTCGATGTAAATTCCGATGTTCCTAAAACACCCCAGCGCGTCCAGCCTCTCCCGCACCTTATAAGCGCGTATAATAACATCCTCAAAGTTTCGAGCTTTAAACAAGTCAGTCACCTGCGACTTGATTATGTCGTCTTTCGTTCGTACAAGTCCGTCCACGTGTATCTTGTCGACTCGTGCCTGGAAAGAACGATAAGCAGAGATAATCAGAATCTACAGCTGACAATGTGCAACTATTACGCCTCAATAACTCCAGTAACGTACCTCTACCTCCTGCAGTACAATACTATTCGTCTGTACGTTCTCCTCTTCCCTGTGTAACTGTGATTTGTCATCGGAAAATGGTGGCTGCGAGAAAATCAATTAATTCTTTTGTGGGATTTTAATAGTAAAATAATTTATCATTTTTCAAGGGTCTTAGTGTTTAAAGCAATCTAGAATACAGATCTAGGCATATCGTGGCATAATGTGTTGTTTTGTGTGTAAGTCGTGGACATACAAAGTTGTCATTTGGATCATCGCGTTTGTTTGCGGAGACGTCCTTAGGTAATTGACCCAAGCCTAAAGGATTACTGGATTCCTGAGAAAACAAACAGACACCTCCGTCAGATTGCAATTGTATACACATTCCTCGATAAAAATCCGCGCGAGCGAGACTTGCCCGGCGATTGACATCGCGAGAATTCGGATGAAAATTAAAATTATCCAATCACCGGTGATATTATTAGAGATTACTCATCCCGCGGATCCCGAAAAAACGGGGTTTTAGGTTATGCCGTAACTTCTAATAATAAATACGTGCCTTAGCGTGGACAGTGCCCATTATCTCGTCGGCGTATCTCTGCCCTCCCTTTTCGTGGCTGCCGCGTTAAAATCTCATGCCAAAATTAGTCGCGACAGCCGTCGAGCGAAACGCACGGCGAACTTGCGATTTAAAGATCGAGTGCGGGTAAAAAAAAAACATGCACACGGGATCGCCGTTCACCGGCGCGACGGCAGCACCACGCGACACGTGACACGTCCCATTCATATAGGGTGTTCTTCTTCTTCTGTAATACGGCGCGCTGGTTCTCTAGTCGAGTACCAAGTGGGTGTCAAGACTAACCAGTAGTCGTGAAACATCTTCTCTGGGTTTTGTCGCGCACTGCCTTTTAGCCGCTTGATTTCAAGGCACTATTAGTCGCCTCTTATGATACGGAGGGCTGGCCGGATCGTCTATTCATAAGCGGTTCAACACGCCACATACAGGGTGTTCGGAGTGGCAGAATCAAAGTTCACTCGGGTGAACGTTGATCCCCTTTATCGCAAGATTGCGCCTGGAATTTATAGACAGATGGAATAAAAAACTTCATAATTTTGCTGTTCATCTTCTATAACTTCGAAGTCACGCACTTCAGATTTTGACCGAAAACTACGTTTTCGAACGTGCGTTTTTTAGCGATCTGTCTGTACTGAAATGACCGAGGAAAAATTAATATATCGAAGACGTATTTTGCCAGAAAAATCGAAGCTAGAACGATCAAGCAACATTTAACATATAACTTAAGCAACAAGCAACATCACATAACGTTATAACAATGTATTATTTTACCTTATTTTCTTATCGGACCACGAAGTGATGTACTTCGTTTCGATATCAGGAGAAGAATCGTCAATTAAGTCAATTCAGCAGCAGTTCGCTTATTTCTTCTTTTATTTAAAATATTCAAATGTAGATTCGATTATAAATTTTAGATGTATATCCTTATTATTATATATAACGATAAAATATTGAATAAAGGAACAATTAGTTTGTTTCAAGATCTTCTAGAAGGAATATAATAAAAATATTTCACAGTAGTGCTCGAACAGTTAAGCCTGAGATTCTTCCCAATGTATCCCGTACTTTACACATTCGCTCTGAGAAAAATTCATGTTTTTGACACGATACTATAATATAGGTATAGTTTTATGCATTAACATCTTCGGCAACACATATAATTCAGTTGTTACCTGTTATATAGTATAGGATGTCGTCCCAATGATTCACTTCGGATATGCAACAAGAAATTAATTTTAATCGCTCGACAACTAAATGACTAAATTGTTGGTCGGTATAATTACTGTGCGTAAAATTTATAGTAAGAGATCATAATATCTAATACTGACAGATATTATTTTTGTAACATATGCTTATCATATTCCTAATCGTACATACACATGATTGCTGATAACTGAAAAACAGTATCATTAATTCCATCTCCTCCGAAATTAAACCATTGGATACAACAAAGACTCATATATATTGCATACTTGACTATTTTACATAACGTTCTAAAAATAATAGCAATTGTAGTAAAAATATATTTCTTTTTCAGAAACGTTGCTAACAATGATAAAATCATTTGCATTAATATACTCCGAGAAAAATAACAATATGTATATATATCAATATTGCAATACCGTTTAGAAAAATTCACTCTAATGGTCTAATGGTCGCAATGTACAGACGAACGTTATTTTAATTCTGTTAACACGTCATCTGCTTGGTTTTATGTTACCATATATGCCACGGTGAAATTTTCATCATCGTCGGCATAAAATATGATTAAATAAATCTGTCTCCTTAAGGATACCTTAAATACCATCTTTTCACTTTATTTCGTTGTCTAGCTATTTATGTCATTCAAGATTTTATATATTAGACGGCATTTACGTTTTTACAACTTAAAAAATTTTAATAGCGTCGGTAATCATCATGGCAGTTAACGTGTTAATAAAATTGACAAGATTTGTAGAGATTCTTATTCATATTAAAAATACATGTATAAGCTTTATATGGCATCTGTTACAATTGGGGGTAAGCTATAGTTAATTAGAAAGTGACCTTTTAAAAATATACTTTCAACGTGAACATATATGCACCTTCAAAAATAATATCCTCTTTCGTCAGATCTTTAGAACAATTCTAATACCACGACTAGCGAAAAATCACGATATTATTGAACTGATGCAAAAAGTTAGCCGTGGTTTTCTTAAGTTACAATTTTTCAGAGCTAATAGTGTTCTAAAAAAAAAGATTCTCGACCTCTTTGTCTAAATAAAACGGATGTATATCGAAGTCACAATAGTGACTCTATTGTAATTAATAAAAATTACTTCTAAAAATAGCTTTGTCTATCCATTTCCATTTAATCTTATCTTCTGGTATAAACGACGAACTTTTTGCACCAACCTAATATATTTTCAAAAACTTATGCTACTCGCGAATCCCACGGATTTGACGAATCCTTATCTATCAGATAACAGCAGTACTGATACGGGGGGCCGTATTGATGGGCGAGACAGGACTGCCGTGGACTTCCAGATCGAATTCTGAAGTTGTCAAGCAATTTCCCATGACTCGGTTCCACCTGTCGGCACTCTCGTTGGCAACCACGTAAGTTTTCGCGATTCTTGGTTCTATATCATTCGTCTCGGGCCTTTCGCAAGCCCGTAGTGCCTCTTGATGTATAATAATTTCGTTGGTGATGTACGCTTCGCGACGTATCCTATTGCGTAACGTGGCACTCATATCAGGAATGCACCATCGTATGAGGATCATTACAAGCGCCACAATATTCTGAAAAATACGTGAATATGATAATTATTATTTTCCTAATTTGTTAAGCTAAAATAGATTGATATGAGATGCAGAAATTTTAAGAATTAGTATACATCTGAATAAAAAGAAAAGTAACGTACCTCAAAAACGACGATGAAAGCTAATCTAGCCGCTAGTATATGCCAGAACATGATACTATATTCGTACTTGTTTGGCGAGTCTGGCGGCTCTCTATAATCTGGGTAGCGGCAAATCTCGATTGGGACATTATTCATCGTCATATTTGACTGAGTTTCATTTTTTAGTTCGTTAGTATTGAATTTTGATAGAGAATGATCCAGGAAACCTTCTAACGAATAATGATCAGAAATTGTTATACGGTAAACTAGCCTCGGTATGAAGTTCGAAGTAAAAGCTATGATGAATGCCTGAAAAACAGAATTGATTGCGTTGTTGAAAATAATGATTAAACGAAAGAATTAATAATATATCTTTGTGAAATAATGCTTTTCTCACTTATAAAATCTTCGATAATTTTCAAGTTGCAACTGATCTTTAAAGGTCTATGTCGTTGCTCTTGAGGTATAAGACTTACATTTGTGATAACAGATAATTTGGAAATGGAATCGAGAATGCGATACCATATACCTATGTCTCGGACACGCTGTCCGACTGGCCTTCTGTACAAGGTTAATAATTTTTTCGCGTCTAATCTCATCTCGAAAACGTTATTCAGTAACGCAAAGAATGGCGCTAATGGAAACGCAGCGACGAAGATTGTAACAAATCCATATTGTAGAACTACAAAAGAGAAAATTACAACTTTTTAATGTATCTTTTAAAAGTTTCTCCGTGTATCTCTAGCAAGTATTGCTTTAATCATATAATTATTTGCCATTCTTCAGTCTAATAAACAAGATTTTATTTTTCTTCTGCTTACCCATTTCTAAATATTCGGGAAAGAGACTTCTAGGTCCCCATTGAACTAATTTATAATCTCTGACCCATTGCAAGTATTTTCTAGACGAATATCTTTTATTTGGATCTTCCAACTTTTTCGAGCCGACGTGAACTTTCAAAGTGTTCAACCATTTGTAAAATAGCGGAAAAAGCATTTCTAAGATGGTGTTCATGGCTTGTTTGCCAATCATAATAATGCTCAGTTGGATGCACAATTCCAAGAGACAACCGCCTGGCCCGCACTCTTCTTGCCGAGCTCCCAAGAAACGATTATAATTGCCTGGATAACCGGTGAATTTCCCCTTGAAAAACGCTATGTAAAATATAGAGGCGTAATAATTCACAAATTCCAACAAGTAAATTTTCAAAGTCAAGCTGTCGTCGAATTCAGTCTGGGTACGAAGTAATTCGATCTGAAAACAGTAATAAGAATTTTCATTTATTAGGATCAACAAAATATCTTTAAAGTCTTTATCTTTGTTTATTCAAAACTGCACTTTGCGGTAGGATTTTAATTAAAACTATGAACTCCTAATGCTTCTTATAATTAACGTGTCAATAAATAGATAAAATATTCATAACTGTCAAACTACTTTAACATTGTCTTGTATGTATATAAGAGTAAATCCTCATATAAAATTACCTCTGTCAAATATTCTGCCAGCCAAACGTAGAGCCAATTGAACAAAATGATGCAACAGAGATTGATGCACGCGGCGGTCGCGGTAGTTAACAATATAGCATAACTGGTTACCATCGGGTGTCCAGAAACTCTTAACGCAGTTAAAACTGACATTCTATACAGGACTACTCCAAGTACAGCAGCCATGGCTACAGCTATCTGTTAAAATACAACATATTTTTTGCCAGAGTTCATTTTAACATTATTAAATATCAATTAAAATATTATTAAATGAGATATAATCATTACAGAAATAATTAAGCTTACCAAAAGTAGAACCACTGAAAAACTGAATATCATAGCTGGCAATTTCATCTTCCAGTATGGCACTTTTGGCTCTTCTGTATTTGTAATAATATTGATAGACTTCTTCTTAATATGCGCAAGCCGCGCTAAGTACTGCGGCCTAGGATATTCTTCTTGAGCATCTAAACCAGTCAAATCCCATCTGTGGGTTATTTCGGCAGAATATTTCTTCCATAGTTCAAGGAACAATGTGGCTGTAAAAGTTATAATACTATGTTATAAATATATTATTCAAATATAATTGTAGTAACTATTTGTTAATAAATTATCAATTTTAGCATACCCCATAGTGACATAAATATAGAGAAAAACACCGTCGACGGATTATCGAACAGATATGTAATCTTCGAGTGTAAACATGTTTCCTTTAGGTCCCAGTAGTCACAAAAATAATCGCACAATGGACACATCAAGATAGTGTTGTTAACGTTACAAATATCTTCGCTCGGTTTGTTGTAGTCCAAAGTAACGCAGCTATATATGAAGCACAAGAGACCGACGATACTGGCTGGAATCAGCATGTGAGTGTAAAATCCCAGCCATGCGAAATAAAGCCCGATCTTCACCCCAAAGTATTCTTTGACATAATCCAAGGGCTGATAATGCAGACATCTTCTCAAACTGGCCCACTCGGTGTACAAAAGATATCTCATCGAGTCTGGAGTGTGCAGACTTCCCTGAAATATAAATAGCATATTTATATATACCAAGTGAGTCATTTTTGCGCGAGGCTGTAATTTTCGAACCGCGATCACAAAAATAAAATGAAACAGCTCACATCGTGAAGCGGATACGCCGCGACGTACGCATGTTCGGATATCAATCTCTCGACGCCAAATGCGAAATCGTCCTCCTTGGTCTCCGTAAATCTGGTTCTGTCCAAAATAAATTGCACGATACGCGATCGCGTTGCCGACGTGAAAAAATTCGGCGAATCCAGATCGAATAAGTAATCCTTGTCTCTACAGTAAACCGCTGTGAAGTTCTGCCTCATCGTCGGGAAGATAGTCATGTCGACGTAATATTTGTTCATGATCCGTCGGAAAAACGAGTTGACCTCCTTGATAATAACGTTACTGCTCGTTTGAGGCATTTGGCAACCAGGCAGTTCTCTCATTGGCAGTCGAAGTTTCAATATCTCGGCATATCGTCGCAAAACGTGCTTGGGCGCGTGAATCTTTATGAAGTGCAGGCCATTTGGTTCCGCCTGTTCGTATTCTAATTGCAGTCCTTCCTTTTCCAGATTCTTCTCAAATATCTAAAAATACGATACGAATTTCACAGGTGACAGAATCGATTGTACATGTATTGTATATTTAAATAACAACGCGTACTCACTCTTCTACGTTCGACACTGCGATAGGTCTGTGCCTCTCCGTTGTACTCGTCCCACACGAGTACGAAATCAACTGAGCGTATTTCATCACGAAAATATAAGCTATATCTTGTGCCGGAATGCGAAATCTAGAATAAAACAAAACATTACATTCACATTTTCTAAATAACAGCAATCAGTTTAACATAGTTCAACTTATCACTCATCAGTCAGGGTCGGTTTCGCAAACATCGGTTAACTGCTAAGGTCCAGTTTCACCAAACGTTGTTTAATTTTAATCTTAGTTTAATTCACGTTTGTCTCTTTCTAAAGTAACAGTTAGAAAGAGACAAAGAATGAATTAAGCCAAGCTTGAAGTTCAGCGACGTTGGTGAAACCAGGCCTGACTGGAGCTCAATCGATTCTGTCTCTTCTTAGATAATAATATAGAACAAGATAGAAAGTCGACTAATCTCTGGTTAATTCACATTTGTAAAACTGGCCCTTACACAACTGAGTTCACTGGTACTTTTCTAAACTTGGAAACAACTCGTGAAAAATTAACACCTTTAAAGATGCTATATTGCTGCCATGACTTGATTCATGTCACTATGTGTCTACTTATTATCAAACACAATTACAAATCAATGTAAAATAATAAAATGAAACTAACAAGAGAGATACAATGCTACACTTGGCGTCTAGCTCATAGAGCATATTGAGAAGATCGAGTCTCACCAATCTTGTGTCATGTAGATTATTCTTCGTGTCTGTGTAACTCCCGTCTAAAACTGTATCATTTGTGCCGTTGTCGACGGTGGACGAGTCGTCCGTGCACGTGGGGTAGAGATTGTCCAAAGAGACGGCGCTGCGCATGCTGTTGACGCTCATGGTGTCCTCGTACAGGGTGTTGCGGACGCTCTGGTACAACGTCTGCTGCGAGCCCTGACTCAGGCTGTCCTGCACCGACTGGTACAAGCTGGACCCTCCAGGGATGCTGCTCTCACGTCGTCGCGCGCTTGTAAGAGAAACCTCCTCGTCATCCTCTTCCATTGCTCAACACACTCGCCGATTGTCAAACCCTACTTTATGCAAACCAAACAGACGTGTGCGTCATGCAAACCCAAGGGGGGGAGGAAGGGAATCGGCAGCGTTGCGATCGAGAAGCGTGATGCAGTAAAAAAAAACTAAGTTCCCATCGTTATCCTCTTACATAATAAAGATGATATCTCTTAGCGATACAACTTAAACGGGCGACAGGTGACAATCTGTAACTGAGAGGCCTCCCACATCTTTACAGCCTTCCACAATGCACTGGCTCCGTTCTCCAGACATACGCATGTTTACCATCGCGTGTATGTACATGTCACGTGTGTGCGCGGGAATTAAATCCATTGTAAAACAATTATAATCCGTTTTCTCGCTTGCTAAAGCTAACCAAGACGTGACGTGACGTGCTTCCGCGCTCGGAGCTCGCGCCGGTGAGGTACGGGCACAACTCGCGGCGGCGAGTCCCGCCGTAAGCCCGTCTCTCGCGAAATCGTCTCGCCCTGTGCCCTCGTCGCGGGAAGCGTCGTGCTCTTACCTAATGTTGCCCGCGGGTCCATTTACCGAGCGACACCGCCACGTTTAAATCTCTGGAAGACTCGCGTTCCGATCGGACTGCTGTCGCGCGGCCGCGTCGTCGTTGCGGGAGGAGGAAAAAAAAAAGAGATGGACACGTGAGAATTTTCCCCAGCTACATGACTCGATACGACGAGCGTTACTTGCTGTGTCACATACCGTATGATAGGAGCACGTCACGCGTGGCCGTCTCCATTTGGAGGTCCCAGGTCCCAGGACCGGCCGATGCCACAGGCGCAGTAGCGTACATACACGTACACGCGCGACCGTCTCGCAGAGTCGTGACTAATGGACCGGGCCCGCGGGTTTGCGCGTTTCACGGCCGCGAAACGCGACAACCGCACGGTTTTACTTGACCTACAGGACGAAGAAAATAATATAGAAATAACAAAAGAAAACACTATAACGTACGAAAGACGAACCGATTGTCACGAGGGGGAGGAGGGGGTGGGGGGAGCAGATCCGGTCCAGATTCCTCGTCTCTCTCACGAGTCTAAAATTGTTGGGCTTTATTTTTAGATGCCACTTTCGCTCGTTTTACGAACCGAAACGGTATATTTTGATTTTATTCGCCGCTCCTGCGCGAATCGTTTGGCAAACTTGATAGCGGCAAGAGCAGCGACTATGTATTATAAATCATGCGTCCTGTGTAATCGCATCTAGAAAAGGAACGTGTATCGCGCGTCGGAAGTGAGATTTCCGCAGATATTCACACGTTATCGTAGGAAGTATAATTCACTTAACTAGCTCGCGCAGCGCTTTTCATTCCAGCGTCATTTTCTACTGGCAAGTTTTTTATTTAAAATCCAATTACAAAACGTCAAACTTGTCACTTTTCGATAACAAATTCTAACTTTGCTAATTTGGGTGAATCATAGAAATGTTTTATGTTACTCGTGTAAGAGTACTGTATGTACATAGAATTTGTAGCCTCGCGCGAGAAAAACCGCGTGCCCTACTCGCCAGCGTGCGCGTCGCCCGACAAACACGTTTGCAATGCACGTAGTAAAATACTCATTATTGAGATATGTGGATTACACGAACAGATTCTTAATCGATACAGCTTGTTTCTATATATACACGTTATATACAGCAAAAACGTAACATTCGTCGATTTACTAAACAATACGTAAATATATTAAGCATATTTCTGTATAAACTTTATCATCTATAAACGAACGTACGAAAGTAAAATCAACTCGCCGCTCCGAATATTTCGATTGAGGGATCACTTTTTTTTTCAGCGAAGAACGCGAACGCCTTGCAATCATACTTCCTGCATAACTAGCGCGTTGAGCTCCTCCTCCCCCGGACACAGTATCGCATCGATATTGTAAAAGGCGGCGTGAAGCGTTATCATGAACCAGGAAACCCCTGAAAGATAAGAGCGCAGGTAGAATCAATCCTCGTTATCGCAAAATCGCATCTCCCGCGGACGCCCCCCTACCCACCGAGCACCCAAAAGACAGCCGCGTGCGCGCCAACCAGGTAAAATACGGGCAGCGAACAAATCCCGACTAAAGAGTACACCTGCGCCAGGGTTAATCTGTGATTCAGCACCATCAGTTCCTGCCTCGCATGCCGCTGCGACAGCTTGTAACATATCCCGAGAGAGGCGACGACCGCCAGCAGCAACAGCGGCGAGGTGATTCTGAGGGAAGAAAATTACACATCCCTCGTCACACGTACAGCCGTATCAAAAGTTTAAGTAATCGCAATTCGAAGGAATAAAGGGTACAAGAGTCAGGACAGGATGTGTCTGAATGACTTTAATTTTATTGCGAAAAATTTACCTCAGCCAGGGTTTGAACCTGGAGACGCCCGTCTAGTAAGAGAGAGGTCGAGGGGGTCAATTCTGTATCTTACACTACAGTGAAAATGCTGAAAGTGAATAGTCGTAATGGCTTCCGGATGGTTGCCGCGTCCGTTTGCACTGTGGTGCCGACGTTTCGCAAACATTGCAGCTTGCATCATCAGGGCTGGGAGACTCTGATACCAGTATCAGTCGGCAGCAGACTGCAAACGGACGCGGCAACCATCCGGAAGCCATTACGACTGAAGAAGACAGCGGCCGCGAAAGCTTGAAAGCCTAAAAGTGAATAGCTTTGTCTCTTTCTAAGCGTTCCCTTAGAAAGAGACAAAGTCGTTCACTTTTAGCATTTTCACTATATTGTAGGATACAGAATTGACCCACAGGTTCAAACCCCGGGCTGAGGTAGATTTTTCGCAATAACTTTAAAAATTAAAATCATTTAGACATCATCATGTCTTGGCTCTTGCATCCTTCGTTTCTTTGAATTGTGATTTCTCGTCAGATCCTTATGAATTTTATTGTTTAAGGGCCCGAGCAGAATGGCTGTCCTATACTCTTACGACAGCCTTAAGACAATGTTTTATGTTTTAAGCCTTCGTCTTGAGGTAAGGCACAATAACTGTCTTAAGAGTACAAGACAGCCATTCTGCTCAGACCCTTAGTAATCAGTTGGTAGAATTATGCGTCTTCTTAAAATAAAACGCTAAGCCAGATCAATAAAACGTCAAGTGTCTCTTACAAGCAGTATATCACTAATCCGATAAACACAAACAGGTAATTGCTCTGGAAATATTCAATGTTCTTCACGATCCGCTTGCTCAGCCTGCTTATGTTAGGCGGCGGTCTGATGTTGTTTGTGTTAAGGAACACCGACCACGGCCGAATGTTCGCCTTCCTGTGCTCGATCCAGTCATGGGCCTGAGGATAGCCGATCTGTCCGAGCGGCAGCTGAGGTAATTGTAAAAATTCCAATCTGCAAAAACAGTACAGGCGTCAGTCGAATGACACAACAGATCGGACAATGCCCTGGCGGATATATTCTACTGAAAATGTAACAAAATTTTGCTGAAATGTATTGAAAGTCTCTCACTCTCGACCGTTTCATTATCATTTTGATACTTCAATAACTTCTCTTTGAAAAGTAACACGGTTGAAGTTTTCAGGAAATTTTATATATCTATTTCAGTTTTTTTTATTATTTTCTAACAGTATGTGCTAACCCTTCTCGTACTTCGCGATATTACAATGAATTTTACAAGGAAAATTGTTTATTTTGCGAGATTCAATTTCACAAACGTCAGTTAGTTTAAGTTTAATTGATTCTCTTCTTATGCCCGGTTTCACCAAACGTTGCTTTAGTTCAATTCATGTTTGTCCCTCTCTAAAGTAACAGTTGGAAAGAGACAAAAAACGAATGAAGCTTAAAGTTAAACAATGTTGGCGAAACCGGACTTCATGCCCAGTTCTATTGATTGCAGCTCAACTTTGATCTCGGTGCAACTTTTTTAACACTTTCTAGCTTCAGGAATTGGAACAAGATAAGAAGCAATTTATAACCCGAGATTAAAGTTAATCTGCATTGGTAGAAACAGGCATTAGACAATAATAAAGATGGGAAGTCGACTAATCTCTGGTTAATAGTCAACCGACGTTTGTAAAATTGGCCCTCGGTAACTTCAACAACTCTCCCTTCACTTTTCGACCCGTAGTACTCCGAGTAAAATATTTCCATCAAGGCAGCTACTCCGCGTCCCCTTAACATCTTCTAGTCTGCGCTTCCGATTGCTCGCTCGACAAGTCAAAATTGATCTCGCAAAACATCGCTTCAATTATTAGATATCAATAACCGTAACAAGCTAATAGTAGAATCGTGATTTCTCTGCATACGTCAACGCAGTTTACAGGTTAGGTTAAGTTAGATCCTGAGGCAGATCTGCAGAACGACGAGAAATCGCCCGTTCATTACCCGTTCGTGGACTTGTGCTTCTCCGGCGGGCTCTGCATCTCGCCCATCGGGACTTCCACCTGTGCCATGACTTCCTGGGGCAAGCGATCCGTCTCGCTCGCTTCGACAGTACTCTCGGTCGCCAAAGATCTTGTCTCTCTACCTCGGCTCTCGCTGACTTATCGACTTTATTAAGCTTTATCTCTCACGCTTTGTGTCGTTCGCTCTTTCCCCGAAAGACGTGTGTGGACGCACGCGTGTTTATCTCCTTTAGGTGGCAGAAAGCGCGAGGGAGACGCTGCCACAACGAAAGGACTTGTGATTCGGTCAACGCTTGTATACCGGGTGGCTCTCAATTATCCACGCGAGGAGCAAAGCAAACGCAAATTCGGAGCCTTCATAAAGCGCGGTCCATTTAAGGTGCGTTCCGTTTCACGCATAACGCGCATGATGCATCGTTTATCCTTGTTACTTACCAAATGATAAATAAGGATAAATGGTGTATCATGCATATCATGCGTGAAACGGGACGCACCCTTATACTACGTCCATATAGTATCCCTTACGGAAAAAAACACTCAAG